TATGGTTTCTCACAAGAAATAAAATAAACACTGATATTGGAAGTCAGTTCTAAATATTGTCTTTCTTGTTGCCTGCCTACAAATCTGATAGATTTTTCAGTTCTTTTTCTATTGTTATTGGCCACTTTCCTGTGGCTTGCCGTATTTTTCATTGAAATATTTTCGATTTCGTGGTCTAGACTTGTAAATGCTATTCTTGACAGTTCACCAGAAGTAAAAATTAATTGGAGTTATGTCAGGAGACTGGGAAGGCCATTATTCTTGTTGGATATTCAAGAATTATGAACGGGAGCTCCTAGCGGAAAGTGTAGCTCTTGTCACATATTGAGGGGTAGATTTTCGATAATTTTGAATAATTCATTATCAAAAAATTTCAATAGTCGTTCAGCGTTAATGGTATTACAAAAGAAAAACGGTCCAATCATTCTGTGGCCTAAAATACCCCACCATACATCAACTTTTTGAGAGTATTGGTCCTTACAGTTCATAACCAGGAACTTTGGTTTGAAAGGTTTGATTTTATGACGAACGAGACATCTTCTGATTTTCTCTCTACTCAAATTTAATCGCTCAGATCTTTCATGCAAACTGATTTGGGAATGTACACGAATTGAAGCTAATATAACCGAAAAGGCTCTGGAGCAGTTGGCAACTGACTCTAATTTTTATCGAAAAATCATCGTCAGCGATGAGGCCCATCTCTGGATGAATGTGTACGTGACAAACAATATTGTTGAATTTGGGGCGATACCCATCCACATGAAATCCAAGAGCGTCAACTGCATCCCGAAAAAGTCACTGTTTGGTGTGGATTTCTTTGACATCGATGCTGGCCAGGCCATCATTGTCAACGGAGCACTATAGGTCGATGATAACCAACTTTTTTTGGCCTGAATTGGATGATCTGGACACCAACGACATGTGGTTCAAGAAGGACGGAGCTACGTGTCACACAGCTTATGCCACATTGAATATTCTGCCAAGCGATTAAGGGCGTGGTCATCTCACGTGAAGGTGATGTGAACTGGCCAACGAGATCGTGCGATTTGACCCTGTAAGACTTTTTCTTGTGGGGTTTTCTCAAGTCGGAGGTGTATGCGAATGAGCCACATTCCACAGCGGTCCTTAAAGCCAACGTGACCCATGGCGTCGGTCAAATTCAGCCTGATTCATGCGCCGTAGTCATGAAAATTGGACGTTTCGGATGCGCTCCATCCAGAGAAGCTGTGACGAACATTAGAAACGATGTTATATTCCGCACATAATGGCATTAAAAGGTCTCTCTAACGAATAGGAAATTTCGACGATATTTCACACACCCTTTGTTTCGTTGCAATTTAAAGGTAGGAAACGCCTAATGAAAGACCCTATATATTATGGTAACAGTCAATCGATAGAATGCATTGTGTACAATAAAGTGATTTCATACTAACAAAAACTGTTATCAAAAATGAAATGCAATCCAAAGTAAAACTGTGAACATTCTGATATACTTTTTTGAGCTTGAATGAAACGAGGAGAACGAATTGCGTTAGAAGGGAAGCGTAGATGTTTTTCTATTTCAACCATTCTTTAGGAATATATAATGAGAATACATACCAGTAAAACATCTGGAATAGTATATTTCCTTTGTTCATAGGATGTTTTCTTTTCCTATCAATACCAGGGTCTTTCATCTCGTCCATTTTGTTATCGTCTCAGCTGTATCTGAAAAACTATTTTATGTTAAGTGAATGACAGAATTATTGATTTTTTGTGTTATTCAGTTTATTAGTTTTCCAGAACTTTCGTTGGATATGAAAAATAGATTAGATGGTCGATGCAAGTTCACAAAACATCATATATGACAAATTTTGAAAAATGGTAGAATGCAAATTTGAAAATATTTTTTTATGATAATTATAATAATGATAACAATGATGGAAGAGTACACGTATGCTATCGGTATGAAATTCGGGATAGAAAAATGTGCAATGGTCCATCTCAAAAGAGGACGATGCGGGACTATGGAGAGGATGTGCAGCTCGTAGATGAAAGCATCCTGCACCATCTGGATGCACTCACAAGAGGTAACAGCAGTGAAGAACTCTCTTCGCGACAGTATCAGTACAAACTTCGACAGATCTGGTCATCGGAACTGTCGGGGAAGAACAAAGTTGCTGCAACAAATATGCTTGCCGTTCCAATCTTACTCTACTCGTTTGGATAAGTAAACTGGGCTCGAGAGGAGCTGTATCAACTCGACGTAAAGACCCGAAAAATGATGCATCTCTAGAGGAGTTTGGATCCCATATCGCCCATTCCACGGTTGTACTTTTCCTCCACAACAGGAAGGCCGGGGACTTTTGTGTTTGGAGTGTCTACATGACAGAATGGTACTGGATATAGTCTGTAAAGTCGTCAGGAGTTCGGATCCTCTTCTCTGCATGGTTCGTGACCATGAGAGAGCAGGAATTGGAGCTTTTCTCCAGGATAAGTATGTCATCTGCATATGCAATTGTATAGAATCCATTATTGTTGAGGTGATTAATCAGGGTATCCCTCAAGGAACTAATTTCGGTCCATTACTTTCTCTACTATTCTCATTACATTCCAATAGATTGATGTTTGCAGATGGTTTGATTCTATACTCTCTATTTCAGATTTGGAAGATTGTATTAAGTAGATGGTAGCACTTACATACTTTACGTAATTTGTGTCGCAGAAACCGTTTCCATTTCAATATTTTCAAACGGTAATTCTTGTCATTCAACAGGAAATTCAATACAGTGTAATTCCCAAACATTATCGATATACGAACAGGTCACCATAAAAAATTTTTTGCTTTCCTGACCTTGACGATGATTCAAAAGTTATCGGTTATCTGTTGAAAGTAATTTTAAACTCCCATTCACGTGTGGAAACAGGGCCGGATTTGGAGGTCTTGGGGCCCTGGAGGAACCATTCTTCCGTCAAGTCTTTCAAAACTGTATTGCCAAAACAGAGGGTATTCAACAAACGTTACACTGACTATATTTTTCATACAGTAGGTTCGTGAACTGGTGAATTGCGTCAAGAAATCTTGATTGCTCAACAAACTACTTTGGTTTAAGAATGGAATAATGTCGATTGTTAACTATTATTATTGATTTCAAGATTTAAAAAAATCGTTACGAATTGCAATCAGGACTTTCTGCGCTGCATGTGTAAATCTATTCTGTTGAAATCTGTAGTTTGGCTTGCTATTTCAAGTCCATTTGTTTTAATACGCATGCACAGACAGGAAATTATTTGATACTGTCGATCCTGATCAGGATAATGAGATAAACTAATGAAATTATTGTATTGTTATCGATTCTTAATAAGTGTACAGAGTGTAAAATACACATGACTATAGGTATCCGAGCTCAGTCTGGCGAGAGAGATAGCGTAACGCCGAATCACTGGGAAGAAAATAAACTTTATCGACGAATTTTTGTTATTTCGGGTTGCGGAAATCGTCAGATTATATATTTTTCGTTATCCTTGAATTACGCTCGAGAATGTCGAAATTACGTTATTTTTTTACAACTTTGCTGCCCTCCTCTTTCTTTACTTCACACTCAAATTGTCAGCATGTAATTGAATCACCCTACCTTAATCTGACGCGCTCGAGAATTTCTGATGATCAATTTTTTTTTAATAATCTGATCCTTTATCCTTCACGAGCGGCCTTATATATGGGGCTCATATTTGGTGGAGTTACTCAACCGGGTACAAGGTTTTCCCCCTGTATATTAATCTGCCGCGCTTTAGTAAATCCCGAAATCCCCGCTTGGGCTCCCCTATTATTGATAGATGTTCCACATAAAAAACAAATTAACTCTACTGTGGGGGCTCCTTTCTTGTGAAGGCTCCAGGGGAGTAGGCCCGCATGCCCTTCCCCAAATCCGGCCCTGAACGGAAATTACCGCGCAAGAAAGAATATAAGTTATTATACAACATAAAGTTTATTGATTTGCATTGTACATTTTATCTACTTCAAGCTGATAGAATTGCATATATTGAATTGAATAATACTTACTGGAATCCCAAGGACGACCAACGAGTATTTCTGAAAATCGCCGTTCGATTATGTTCACTGAATCACACAGCCATGCCACAAGTAATATTAGATTGTGCGATTACAAGTCGTCAGAAACATTATCACCACTTTTAATTTCGATATCTGAACGTTGCGTTGGCTACTCTAAGCAAGTTGTTTGCTGAAATGAGCATATACTTTTTTTCCACCGCAAAATCAGGCCAGTATATCATTTTTCAAATATTGAGCCAGACAATCACTTAATCCGTCTGTTTTGTAAACATGATGGCTGTATCCATCGTCAAAATCGTATGTCAACGAACTTCCACTGTACATCGGACAAGGGACGGACTGACCATATCGTATTTTCATAGACAAAAATAAAGAGTGTTTCTAAAAGCCACGCCAATACTTGTAGGGATCATGTGTTTTAAGATGATTTTGAGAAGTGAACTTTCATGAATCTAGAACATGTATGAATTATTCACCTCCACTTTAGTGGTGAATTTATTGTGTTGTTTCGTCAGTTTCAATGATTCTATTTTAAACTTTAAAATCTAAGTGAATACTCTTTCAATTTAATAAGATTATACGCCATTTGAGTCAATGCATATTTGCCAAGGTTAGGTCCAAAGAGAGTGGGTCCATTCGACTCTCCACCGCAACCCGCAAGGGTTTATCGTGTCTCACACCTATTCACACATGACCAAATAAACCCAGCTTTTTAACGAAGTCGATTTTTTTGTATGGTGCGTGGTCTTTCAGGCCAGATGGTAAGAGTATGGCTCTGCCGAACTCTAAAAATCTGATTCGGTCCCCAGCGGGGCAGGCACGAAATATATGCTGTGCTGTTTCATCATTTTTCAAACAGAGGCGACACACACTGTCTTCCGACAGTCCAAGTCTCTAAATATGATGATTCAAATGACAGTGACCTGTAAGAAGGCCTGTTAGATATCGTAGTTCATCCTTACTGTAGTTCAACAACTATTTGGTACCAAGCTTCGAAGGGTGGATAAACGCCTGGAAGTGAGCCTATCCTGGAAGATTCTGTCAGAAGTTCATTAATCTTCTTGCCATCCAGATGTTCAATCTTTGTTTGGCAAAGCCTAAAGCGATGCCAAAGACAAGTTCTGGTCCGATGAAGCTGCTGCTTGCAGCACCCTCCTTTACAAGGGAAACAGCATCTTCATTGCCTTCCAGGCCGGTATGGCCAGGAATCCAGACCAGAGACAATCTGTTGAGTCGTTTTTGGCAATTTGCTACCAATTGAGAAGTTGCTCGGTAGGAGTCAAGAGCTTCCAATGCCGTTTCACTGTCCGAGAGTATTTTTATTGACTTGTGTATGAAGTTGGATTTATCCAATCTCTCCGCTCACAATTCAATAGCGTAAATTTCCGCTTGAAATACAGTCGCATAGGTTCCTAGGCAGGTTGATATCTCTGTTCTGGATCTGCGACTGAAAACACCTGCGCCAGAACCGAAAGGTGTTTTTGATTCATCTGTGAACCAACAACTATCTGTTCTTAATATTTCCTTCTCCCGGAGGATCCACTCCTCTCTACTCGGGAACAGTATTTTATAATGCAGTTCGTAATTGACAGTTTGTCAGAGGTCATTTCCAACCAACAGTCTGTTACACTCTGCATTGAATTGTCAATGTGCACAAGTCCATATGCAGTCCATCTAGCCTCTCTTTCCAGAAAAATGTGGACGATCTCCATGGCCACTGACGGTGTAGTACTGATGGCACCACTAATGACCAGACAAGCCTGTCTCTGTAAACCAGAGAGCTTCGCTTGGGCCGTTTTCTGTTGAACCTTTGGCCACCAGGCAATTGCACCATAAGTGATCATCACATAAATCCAAAGGATTTGTTTGGGAACTAAACCCCAAGTTCTACCACAAATCCTTTGACATGTCCATAGGGACAGTCTGACTTCGTGTTAAACTTTTTTCCAAGTGAGCGTTCCAGGTGAGTTTTTTTATCGAGGATAATGCCAAGATATTTCACCTCCGTTCCAAATGGAATGACCTCACCATTGAAGAAAAGTGGAGTTAGAAGGGGAAGGGGATTCTCACAGTTTTGCTGGGGTTGCCAACGTAACACAAGTAAGTTAATTCCGTCAGCATGAAAATTGTGTGCTCGAGATTTGGTGAAGTAAACGAAGGCTGTTTCTCCTGATTGGCCAAAGTTCTATCGGTGGGAAAATTAATTAACTGCTTGAAAATATAGTAGTAGGTTGGCGAGAGGTCTGAGGAATATGGTGGATGAGGCAGAACTTCGACGCTCAATTCGTTTAGTTTTCGGACGTGCGGATGGGTGTTGTCGTGGAGCAGAATCGGGCTTCATTTGTTGACCAGTGCCGACTGCTGCCGGTACTTTTCGTCGATTTTCCCACAACGGGACTTTGCTGTGATAGTTTGGCCCGGTTGCAGAAATTTATAACGAATCACACCAGCCGATAATCATCAAACAGTCATCATGGTCTTTTTTGTTGGTTTTCACCTTTGGAAAATGCCTGGGTGGCTTATCAGTGTCCAACCACTGTTCTGAAGTTTTCCTTTTGTCGTAGAGGAACCACCAAAAAAGATTGTTTTGGTTGCTCATAAGCAAAGAACAGACCTCGAACCGTGACAATTTCTGTCGATCGTTCAAATCATGGAGCCCTCACCTTTCGAGGTTTTTGACCTTTCCAAAACGTTTTGAACCATCAAAAACTGCATGATTGGGAGCTGACGCCCAGTTCATCCGCAATCTCACCGTGAAACATAGTTTTTCTGATTGACTACATGATTAACATGGTTTCTGTCTAGACCTCAATCAGCTGAATTTTTTCTATTGGCGGAATACTGGGAGATAAGTTTTGGACTTCGGAGTACTCGAAATACTCGAGGAATGAACAAACCAATGTATGGGTACATCATCTACTGATAAATATTTATATACAGTTTCTTGTAAATATATCGAAGCGGAACATTTAATAATTTCCTGAAGACAAACACATTAATATCGATATTTCTAGAAATATCCCTTTTTATCTGTCATATGGCAATTCCAACAACAGATTAGGTTTGTTGAGTCATTTTTTGCTTATAAAAACGTCAAAAAATGTCAGTACGATAATGGACATCACTGTTCAGTAAGAATATTCTCATTTACTTTTCTGTTTTACTAGAAGGAAGGTACCACGTCAACAATCTCTAAAATGATCAATTCTCGGGCATTGGAAGAAAAAATTGAAGCGATTTTCATTTACGGTGCGACGCGTAACTTTCACGAAACTGAAATGATTTTTAATGAACTTTTTCCGAATTGTCCTATCTGTAGAAAATATATGACAACTACCGGTAGTGTACATAACAAAAATCCCCCAGATCATCCATCCATTCCGGAAGAACAGCAAGTGCAAATATTTGGTGAGATGATAGTAAAGCCTGAACAGTCTACTTATTCCGTCGTGAATGTTTGTGAGGTGTCTCCTTCTACTGTGTGGAGACTTTTGAAGAGGAATAGGCAGTGCCGGATTCAAGCACAGGCAACATAGGCAGTTGCCTATGGGCCGCCACCACACCACAAAAAAAAAATTAATTAAATCGATAAAAGCTTAGTAGGAACAAAAAAATAGTGAGTTTTGTTACAAATAGTTAGATGAAAAACTCCCTTCAGTAGTATTATTGCAACGAGTAACTATTCGACAAAAATTCAGCCCCGCAATTTTATACCGAGTCTTGAAAAACAAGTATATATATACAAGGAAATGCAAGAAAAGCTTTTTCATTCGAAGAACAAAAAACGGCGAGGCTGAAAACGCTGGTGGTTACGTTTTTCTCCATGCAAAGAACATCTCTTCCGTTTTGTATGCAAGCTTTCCTCACCCGTACGGTCACAGTTTACCCATGAGGGCTTTTGTGATTGGAGAAATCTCGTCGCACGATTGATTGAACATGAAACCTTGAAAAATTATTTAAAGACTTCAATCAATTATAGTGGGCTTCCTAACTAATTGGTCGCATAGATCGAGAACTGTCGGAGCAAATGGAGCAAGTCATAACTTTTCTAAGCGAAAGGGGATTGGCATTTAGAGGGGCAACGAAACTTTTGGATCTCCTAACAACGGCAAATAACTTGTAATATTAGAACATTTAGCTGATTTCGAAGTTTTTTTAAAAAACATTCAGAAGAACATGACAACCGCGGAAGTGGTCACACAAACTACTTGTTATCCACGATTCGTGAGGAACTGCTTTAAATTTTAGGAAAAGCCGTTTTAAAAAAAATTATTGATGGAGTGAAAACTGCAAAATATTTTTCCATTTCTCTGGACTCGACTCCTGACAAAGGCCGTGTTGACCAATTGACGTTAGTGGTTCGGTTTATTGAGTGGCACGCTCCTGTTGAGCGTTTTCTTATGTTTATGCCTAACTTGGATCATAAGGCAAGGGATATGTATGAAGGCTTGATTAATTTTCTACAACAAAACGAGCTGGATCTGAAGAACGTTCGTGGACAGTCATACGACAATGCTTCTGCAATGAGTGGCAGAAATAATGATCTACAAGCATTAATGCAAGAAAAAAATAGCCTAGCAGCTTGGGTGCATTGTGTTGGGCATTCACTTAATCTTGTCATACAGTCGGCAGCCAGTTGTTGTCTCGGAGCAATAAGTTTCTTCAATTTGTTAGAAGAGCTGTATGTATATTTTACTACTTCAACTAACAGGTGCAATACAGTTAGTCGCTGTTTAAGAGAAGCAAAAACTGACAAACCTATTCTTGTGCCGAAAAGAACGACAACAACTTACCGTTCAAGTCAAGTTGAAGCCACTAAAGCACTCTTGCGAGGCTATAAAGGTTTTATGAATGCCATCGATGAAATTATTGAGGATGAAGAATACATGATGGTATGGCAAAGTTAGAAACAGCTATATACGGTTTTTGGGATGATATGTTGGGATATATGAACAAAGTCAGCGAAAGCCTAAAAAATCCTAGGTTGGATTTGAACTCTGCTGCCGCACTGCTTACTTCATTAAAATCAACAATTGAAAATGAAAGAGACAGTTTTAATGAATATGAAGTAAAAGATTTCGAACTAGTTGATTGCCGAAACTACGAAGAAGAAAAAAGGAGAAAAATGAAAAGAAACGTCCGGTTGTCCACTTTAGATTGTCCACTTTAGGTTGTCCACTTCAGTTGTCACCCTCAGACAAATTTAGAACTCAAAGCTACTTTCCAGTTGTCGACCAGCTCATGACCGTTCTTCAGAAGAGAATGGATGCGTACTCACTTCTAAATGCACAATTTGGATTTTTCAAAAATTTTACAACTATTTCTGATCAGCCAAAACTTGGTGAAAACCTACTGCGACGACGTAGATGATACTCTCGGCTACGAATTCATACATTTCAAACTATTAGTTCACTATGAAGAATTTGAACAAAAGAGATGGGGTATATTAGCTATGGGAGATAGATGTATGAATTTTTGTGTAAAAACAATATTAAAGAGTGCTTTCCCAACTTTGAGGTTATTCTGAGAATTCATCTCACACTAATAGTGTCATATTGTACGACTGAAAGAACCGTTCGAAACTGAAACTTATGAAAAATAAACTCCGAAGTTCCACGACCGAGAACAGATTGAATATTTTGGCTCTCCCTAGTTTAGAGAGTGATGTTTTGAGGGAAACAGACTTCGACGACATTATCGATACGTTCACTAATGTGAAAATCAGATGAAAAATAATTTAGCTTGTAGGTACTTCTAGTTTTGAATAAATTTTATGTCAGCTAATTCATTCAGTGGCTCTCATCTTCAACTTGACCTTAATAGAAACTTTCAACAGTTAACCACAAACGATTTGAGGGCCTCCACCACATGCTCTGCTTATGGGCCGCCGAAGTCTAAATCCGGCGCTGGGAATAGGTATCATCCATACAAAACCAAAATGGTACACCAATTAACTGAAGATGACCCTGAACGAAGAACAGAACTCTGCGAAATCACGATGGAAACCATTGCAAGGAGCATCCTACCTATCTCCACAATATTTCTTTAAGTGATGAATGTACATTTTTTCAAACGGCAATGTTCACAGACAAAATTGCCGTTATTGGAGTGACACCAACCCTCACGTTTTGCGGGAAACACATATCCAATATCCAGAAAAAATTACCGTTTAGGCAGGAATATTGGACAACTATATTGTAGGACCTCTATTTATTGATTCAAATTCAACAGGGGAACTGTATTTGAATATGCTGGAAACTACTGTTGACCCTCTCATCAGTGAAATCGTCGATGCGAATCCTAATGAATTCAATATGGATATTGTATTTCAACAAGATGGAGCACCACATTATTCCAGACAAGTAGGAAACTATCTGGATACTACTTTTCCCGGTCGTTGTATTGGCCGTCGAGGTCCTACAGAATGGCCAGCTCGCTCGGCAGAAAAAGATGTACGAAACTGAACCTGCCTCAATATTGGATATACAGCAGAGAATAATAAATATTTGTAGAGATATTGACGTAACTGTGTTCGAAAATGTTCGGGGTAAAATATCGGATAGGCTGTTCATATGTCAAGAAGCTCAAGGCAACCATTTCGAGCATCTTTTGAACTGACCTCAAACTTATTATTATGTAGTTAAATGTCAATGTATTCAGGCAATTATTAAAAGTTCAGCCATTTTGTAGTAGTTGAAGATATTGACAATATATTCTAGGGTTGTGGAGCATTTATCAGGAGCTTCAAAAAGATGTGTCACAAGACATCCCTTTCCATCAATTTTTTTCCCAGATGGAGCCCAGACGCCATCTTGGAAATTTCATTTGTCAATTTCACTTCAAAATGAAGTATTTATGCATTGATTTCATTATCACAATATTCAATTTTTAGAGTTGACCCGTTCAAAAAATGAAAGGGGGGGACGAAATGCAATGTATAATTCGTTGATTCGTTTGTTTCAACTAACATTTTTATCAATAACTTGTTGATAACCACAGCTAATAGACTGACACAAAAAGTATATTCACAGAAACTCCAAGGACAATGAAAAGGTATTTCTGAATATCAGCTTTCGATAGCACTTCGCTGAATCACAGTCATATCACATATAATATTATGTTGTACAAAATTCTCAGGAGTCCATTCCACCTTCATGCTACCATACTTACCATGGTACCAGTATAAAAGCGTTTGAGGAAGCTATTGTATAAATAAACACGTGTTGCGGTTTTGTAAACTGTTTAGTGAAAATCTCAAAATATAGTGTTACTTGAACACGTTACGGATTTTCATCAAGTATTGACCAATTCCATTACAATTATTACTTCATTAAGGTGCTGACGGTTTGTCGAAAATTTTACCAAACCTCATAGGTTGAGTCATTCTATAAATTCATTCTGCTTTTTGAATAGAATACTGGGGTTTTAAAAATCAAAAATCAATAGTTTTTCTCTAAATAGTGGAAATCTACCAGGTATATTATTTCATAAATATTTCTTGTTTCAAATTACGCTTGGCATAAGAAGAGTGGAAAATATGAGGTGAGTTATTTTTTCATTCAATTCTTTGTTATATACAGTGTGTCACACTTGAGATGTATTTTAGTTATTTTTGAGAGAATATATTTGTTTATTGATAGAGGCATAAACCTTCCTGTGCTCGATATTTTGCTTCGCGTTGACGATACCGAAATAAATTATTTGAAAAAGTTGTTTAGAAAACGATTTTGAACCTAAATACCGAATTTCAACGCAAAATTCGAATTTTGATTGAAGTCCGATTTTCAATTATTGGTTCTAAATAAGAAGCTACGAAAACAATAAATCCGTTAAAATATAGGAATAAGTAGGAAAAACCTAATATGCATAATGAAAAAAATATCAAATTTTGATTTATTAGTTAATTAAAAGCCATCAGCCGAAATGAAGCGAATTCACAAGAAATAAAATAAACACTGATATTGGAAGTCAGTTCTAAATATTGTCTCTCTTAACGCCCGCTTTCAAATCTGATACAGTGATACACACTTATTTCACGGCAAGTTTGCCGTATTCTCTCACTAAAATCTTGTCGATTTCGTAGTCTAGACTTGTAAATGCTATCCTTGACAGTTCACCAAAATTGTTATTGTCAGGAAAGTGGGAAGGCCATTATTCCTATTGGATATTCAAGAATTATGAACGGAAGCTTCTAGCTGAAAGTGTAGTCCCATATTATGGAGGTGTTTCTTTAGTTGACAGTGGACAGTCAGAAATCCTACTGTTGAGCGTAGATTTTTTCTGGTCATCGCCAGATATTTCTTCGGCGCCAGCTTCTCAGGGTGGCCCAGGGTGATCCTGGCAAGATTGCATCCTTTGATTTCATCCCATCTCTTTAGGGATTAAGCATGGGTGTAACACTTGGCTAGTTCCGCAATTGTCGAAGTCATCAGGCCGTAGATGCCACTGGGTCCTGAAATTCTTAGTCCAGCTGCTTCCTTGGCTAGAAAGTCTATAATGCGATTACCTTCACTCCTGTCGTGCCCTCTAACCCACCTCAGGATAATGTTATTATCTACCGAGGCTTTGGCTAAATCTTGGTGGCACTCTTGTACTATCTGCTATCAGTGCAGACTGTTATGTTTTTACCAGAAATTCCTTTCCTGGTTATTTCTTTTGTGGCGATTGAGATACCAGCCAGTTCTGTATGGACCACTCTGGTATTTTTCCCATTCTCCACTTAATCCTTAGGCATAGTGATCTGGAGTACACTCCACATAATGAGCGTTTTTTGGTTTTTGAGCTGTCTGTATATATGCGTATTACATTTGTAGCATCTGACTCTGTGTTCTGTTTCATTTGGATTTTGTAGGGTTATTGAAAAGTTATATACAATGGAACCCAATCCGTTTCTGAAATGAATACTTTTCACCTTTGCTATCATTCGCCTATCAATATATTTTGAATTTGAAATACAACTTTTCCTAGCTCTCCTGCCAACAACTCACTGAAACCATTTGAATTGTACAGCCCTTCGATTTCACTCATTATATTTATTAAGCCTATTCATTTTATGTATTTGAGATGTACGTGATTTATAAACCTGCTGAATAGATGGGAAAGCACAATAAAGATATATTTCATAACTAAATGTATCTGTATCTGTAGAGTAGGGAGGGTGAGTGTAAGCCCACAGCGCTTAGGCGACATGTGACCCATTGTATATCCTCCCGAGGAGTTGTCCTCCTAGGTCATCGTCCATCCTGTCCTATCCAGGAAGGTGGACAGGTCACTTGGAGAAAACTCCTTTATATCGGCAGGTGTAGGCCAAACACTCACTCTCTTATTGATGATAACTCCGGGCACTCACATAGGACATGCCTGACAGTCTCATCTTTCTGTTCACACATCCTGCATAGAGATATGTCCACTAGCCCCATATTATGGAGGTGTTTCTTTAGTTGACAGTGGACAGTCAAAAATCCTACTGTTGAGCGTAGATTTTTCCTGGTCATCGCCAGATATTTCTTCGGCGCCAGCTTCTTAGGGTGGCCCAGGGTGATCCTGGCAAGATTGCATCCTTTGATTTCATCCCATTCCTTTAGGGATTGAGCATGGGTGTAACACTTGGCTAGTTCTGCAATTGGCGAAGTCATCAGGCTGTAGGTGTCACTGGATCCTAAAATTCTTAGTCCAGCCGCTTCCTTGGCTAAAGAGTCTGTAATGCGATTACCTTCACTCCTGTAGTGCCCTCTAACCCTCCCCAGGATAATGTTATTATTTACCGAGGCTTTGGCTGAATCTTGGTGGCACTCTTGTACTAGCCCTGAGGTAACACGTTGTCTGTTCAAGGCTAATAGGGCGTGCCTGCTATCAGTGCAGACTGTTATGTTTTTGCCAGAAATTCCTTTCCTGGTTATTTCTTTCGTGACGATTGAGATACCAGCCAGTTCTGTATGTACCACACTGGTATTTTTCCCATTCTCCACCTTATCCTTAGGCTTAGTGATCTGGAGTACACTCCACATCCTGAGCGTTTTTTGGTTTTTGAGCTGTCTGTATATATGCGTATTACATTTGTAGCATCTGACTCTGTGTTCTGTTTCATTTGGATTTTGTAGGGTTTATTGAACATAAACCTGGGTTCAATTTCATCACTGATTGCCTGCAGCAGAGGTTGCGCAGTAAGCGCTTCTCACCATAGGCTCATTCTCAATTGACCCATTCCTACTTCAAGGTTTACACCAGCCGTGCGCAATCGTAACATGACCATTAACGCAAACAAGTCAGTCGCTGTATTGATATAAATTTTGGATGGACGTTGCTTGTAGAACTTTCGGTCCTCATGCAATGGCTCCGTATGTTAACATAGATCTTATTATTGCATTGTAGATCCAGGTGACCACACGGGTTGAAAGACCCCATGCGCGTAGCAGTGCCCTCCGACATTGCTCATAAGCCACATATGCTTTTTTTGCTGTACTCTGTAGGTGAGAGCTCCATGTTAGCTTTCTGTCGAGGATAGTACCAAGGTATTTCACCTCTTCAGAGGAGTTTAGTTTGCTTTTGAAGATTTCTGAAGGTTTAAAGCCCGATAAACTTATTTTCCTGGCGAAAAGGACCTTCTCAGTCTTCTTGGGATTGATCGACAGTGAGTGTTCCTTACACCATGTTTCTATCAATTTGAGCCCATCCTGCACTCTATCGCACAGTGTGTTCACATATTTGCCGGTCTGCAAGATAACTATGTCATCTGCATATGCAAATGTGTAGAATCCATTATTGTTGAGGTGATTGATCAGGGTATCCAGAACTATTTCCAAAAAAGGGGTTATAATACTCCTCCCTGTGGACATCCCTTCATAACCAGTCCTCTCACTGTGATGTCTTCTACATTGATATTCATTGCTCTACTAGAAAACATCTTGAGTGTCCATTCTCCTACTACCAGGGGTACATTCCTGGAGTGTAGTTACTGGGTAATCAATGGAAAGGTTGATTCATCAAACACTGCCTCAATATCTATGAATATACCCAGGGTGGATTCTTAGTTGTCCAATGATCTCTCGATTCTGCCAACCACATGGAAAAGGGCCGAATCAGTAGACCTTCCTGGAGTATATGCATGCTGATTTGGATGAAGTGGGTTGTGAACTACTTCATGTCTTATATATCGCTCACATAGCATCTCCATAGATTTTAAGAAGAACGATGTGAGACTAATTGTTCGGAATGCTTTTGGTAAGGTGGAGTCCATCCTACCTGGTTTGGGTATAAATACTACCCGTACTTCTCTCCACTTACTGGGAATATACCTCAGAGCTAGAGACTCTGACTCAAATCAGGAGCGGCATAAGAATATCCAGTCCCCATTGAAGTAGGGTTGGTCTTACACCGTCAGGTTCTGGTGATTTGAAGGGGGAAAAGCCCGATATGGCCCATCTTATCTTGTCCTCGTCAATTACTGCACTAGAGATTGCTAGTCGTATTTTGAGGGTGTTGTTGGTACTTCCGTCCAGTTCGTCTTTCCAGGAAAGACAAAACCTGGAAAGTGAGTTTCCATAAGAATCTCAGCACACTGTTGGATGTTGGCGGCTTTTTCGCCGCCAACACTCGTCAGGATGCCGATACTCTTATGGTTGCCATTTGAGAGTGTCTTCTGTAGCCTAGAAGCTAGTGGGAAGTCTTCGACTGCCTCACAGTAGACCCTCCAGGCTGCTCTTTGTTTTTGTCCACAGACTTTTCTGAACTCTTTGAGTTTGGCTTGATATATACCTCAGTCCTCTTTGAGTCTTGTACGTTTTGCCTTGTTGAAGGTCGTTCTCGTTGTCTTCCTGAGGTGTTCCAGTTCGGGGCACCACCATGTATTGGTTGTGCCACCTGTTTGAACTATCCTCATCGGACAGGATTCCTTGTAGGCAATGTCTTTTTCGTTTCGGATAGATATCATGTACCTTTCCAGTTCTCCATTATTGCCAGGAGTCAGGACCTCTGTTTCCCGCATATCTCCTTTTAAGAGATGATCGTAGAGAGCTACATCCGTCCTCTTGGGGTCACGGAATTTCACAGTGGTCCTGAGATCTTGGCTTACCGTATAGGTCAACCAGCGGTGGAAAATATGGTCCGAGACTTGCCAGTCCTGGATTTTGTTTGATATTTTGGCTGTCATTAGCGTGATATCTATTGATGTTTGGCTACGGGCATTTTAATAAATGTCGGCTCCGTGCCTCTGTTCAAGATTGTTAGATCTTTCTTAATTATTTATTCTTATAGGGACTTACCTTGGGCTTTGATATCCTAGGTGTAACCAATACATTCAGTGAGATAATTGTGATGAAATATTTGATGTACAAGTATATTAATGAATGAATGAATAAATTACTGAATTACTGAACTTATATTTGGAAAAATAATAATTTTCAATTTAAGTTATTTCAATACATTTATCTCATTGACTTTGACTATTTTATCATTTTTGTACCTTCTTATTTGGAACCATTGATTGAAAATCGGACTTAAATATGAAAATTACAAAAAAATCAATTCTCGAATTTTGGGTTGAGAATCGGTTTGTAGGGTCAAACTTAATTTTTAAGCAACTCTTTGAAATAGCATTTCCGGATTGAATTATGGAGGCATGACACTGTATAGATGATTTCGAACCAATCAATTCAGGAGTACATAAGAAATGATGATTTCAATAGCTTACAATTCAGAATTCAGGATGAAAGCTCATTCTTCCATCCAAAGCTCATGCTACTATAGCAAAAAAAAATTTTTTTTCAATAACAATATTTGATACCTCACTATTTTTGAACTATAGTCAATGGCTGACATGATTCAACAAAGTTAATTGTTGTTTCAATTGAAATTTGTCACAGTCATGAAATGACATGTTTCACTATTTCATTTCATACAAACCCTGAACATGTTACAATTTCAATAGGTCCTAGAGTGTTCACGATATACAGTTCGAGCCGAATCTTAGACTTTTCAAACAGGAATTCAAAGCCAAACCAAGTCACCAAAAATATAATTTCAGAAAGTAAAACTCGTAAAACAACTAATACAATTTTTTCTCGTACACACTGTGCATATTCACACACTTTCCTGAATTTCGAACACTAGAATGACTTCAGACGTTCAAACAAAACAATCTGCGAATCGATTCATACAGGATGAGAAAACAGTTTGGAATTTTTCCGATGCAGTTTCTCGAAATGACTAGACCTCGTTATCATTTTTTACACTCCACCCCCGCTGCGTTCGACCGATATCTTCTTTTTCAACATCTCTTTTTCGTGTTTGATTTCTTCCAACTCCGCCATTCGGGCAAACCTAGAGTAAGTGACGTGGCCGGACTTGATTGCGGACATCATCTAAAAATCAGGAAGTTCAAATGAGTTTGACGGAAAATAAAGCAGAGAAACAGTTTTGACAATCATTTTATCATTTTATTATTGCTATTTTTATTTTGTTAGTTACTTCTGTTATTGTTTTTATTATACAGAATGGTCCAACGAAAAGTATCCACATTTGAGGTTTTCATGAAATTCACAAAAAATGCATAGACAGACCTATTCCAATTTCAAAGTGGAAATATTCACCTTATCTTCATTCTTGTCACTTTCAACCCCTAGTGGGGGTGGGCCCCAACCCTAAAATCTTCAATGGAAGATGACTCAAGTGATACTCCGTTTGAAAGAACACAGAATAACATGATACCCATCCTATTCCAATTTGGTTTTGACAATTATTTTGGAAACACTGAAATTACAATCAAATAAAATACAAGTAACAACCGAAAAATGAAAAGAATGAAATGAAAATTAAAAAAAAAATATTAACAAGGAAGGAAAATAACGAATTAAAAGATTTCGAACCAAGTTAATTCACGACGTTTCGATTGTTAGTATCCACAATCGTCTTCGGGTGATAACTGGACTCGGAGATCTGACTATTTATATGTCACTCGAGTGCTTTCACCTATCCCCTTTTCCCTCTCTCCGCTTCATCGGTTTTAGCGGAAGCTGACCGTTTGGCGGGAGTTGGTCGTGTTCCGCTTGATTAGAGGTTTCCATATGTTGCGTATCTCTACGCTAGCTTGGTTAAATGCGTTGTTGGACAACATATATGCGGCTTCTTTGAATTTGATCCTAAACCAGTGTTCCTCCTTGTGGATGACTACAGCTTGAGCGCGGACTCAAAGTCCGCGTTTGGTGGCCTGTTTTCGTGAGGCTGCTGAAACAGATCTGAAACAGGTTCTGTTGTTATACTTGGACCCAATCCTGCTTATCCTTCCCGACAATCTTCTGATATAGATAAGTACAAGTGCTGGATGTGGCGGTTTCTCTTCCTTGTGGAGCTCTTGCTGTGTTCTAGCTAAAGCCTGTTCCACCATTACCATGAAGTAACCATTCCGTTGAAGGTCATTTTTGATGATACCTGGTTCCTTTTATATACCTTCCTTTGTATTACAGAGCCCGAAAGCACGGTTTAGTAGAGTCTTGATGATTTCCCTTCTGTGAAAAGCTTGTACCACTTGTAAACATTTTTCTGACCCAGAGTACAAATCACCGTATGCCACCGACAACATTTCAGGTTTTTTCTGAGTGTTCAAGTGTTTTACCTGAAAGTTGATGCAAATTCTTTAATCCAATTTTTTCGATAACAGAAAATCACCGAAATGCAAAACGTTTATGGCTCTCACCAACAAAATTTGAACATTCATCTCATTTTAAGAACATTTCACGTACACATCTGGACTATTTCATCAGATAGATGAAAATTTACTTCACGGAAAAGATGCGTACAATAATTTATTTTCAATCCTTCCATATAATTGATATGGTCCTCAGATATGTCACTGAAATTTATTTGATGTTCTTTTCCTTGAAAATATTCAGATTTGAAAGAAGGCTACAAGTATAACTCAATTCGACATTAAATTGAAATTATTTTCCCTAATCACTAGCGCCACTCGTGCTCATCTTCCGAACAGCCAGAAAACCTGATAACAACCATGAACAATTATCGATAATAATACAATTGACTCCAATAATAATGAATTCTCTTTAAAATCCATTTTCCCGTTTACCAGTTGTTGCCACTTTATGAACAACAACCCTCAAAAGTCAAAACCTGTGTAAGCTACGGTTTAACGAGGTCTTAGCTTTCGACGTGCGTTTACTAGCACGGGTTGGACGATAGGCGCGGTTCCAACCGCGAATAGTGATTCGACGATTCTCCATAGCAATTTTTTTCACTTTCTTAGTATTTTTGTCGGTTGTTAATGTGCTGGGGAGTTTAGGACAAGGGTCGTCATTACTCAGATCCACTCGACCTTCTGTGAAAAGCTTGTACCACTTGTAAATATTTTTCTGACCCAGAGTACAAATCACCGTATGCTACCGACAACATTTCAGGTTTTTTCTGAGTGTTCAAGTGTTTTACCTGAAAGTTGATGCAAATTCTTTGATCCAATTTTTTCGATAACAGAAAATCACCGAACATGCAAAACACTTCTAACGTTTATGGCTCTCACCAACAAAATTTGAACATTCATCTCATTTTGAGAACATTTCACGTACATATCTGGACTATTTCATCAGATAGATGAAAATTTACTTCACGGAAAAGATGCGTACAATAAATATATTATATGGAGGTGATCCTACCTACTGTGCTGATAATTTTTTTATCGATTCTTCAGAATTAATCGAACCTTTCGTGTACTCGAATTCTAATTTTTGTAAATACTAATACGTATTCATATTTGAATTGTCATAAAGTGGAGAAATTTTTATATTTGATTTTTATGAACACGTACTTTGTCCTAACAAAATTATTTTTCCACAACAGAACTTTTTCGAGCATCGAGAAATAATCTTGATCAGATTCATTCTACGCCAAATGTTTTAAATTATACCCATTATTTTGCTCTAGATATGAAAACCTTCAAACGTGTTGAACGGCATAACCTTGACCAATATAAATACTCGTTAAGCCCTGTTTTCCTAGCGACGCATTTTTCGCATCACGTGCGACGTGTTACGCCCAGCTTAATACGTCGCCTACTCCTCCACAGGAATCCAATAGGACTGTTTTCCTAAAGAGCGCAACACGTTCCACGCCGACGTGATGCGCTTAACGTGTTAGACCGACTGTCAGGTTTTGTCTGAGACCATTTGTTTCGTTTAGTGTTATTAGTAACTCTCTGATGAGGACAGAGCTAGCTTTCCATCAATGGGAAAACCCCAACGCTCCCAAAACTCATTGGCTTTCTGTTCCCATTCTATTCAGTTGGGATGGGGCAAAAAATAGACACAAACTTTTTTTGAAGGACAGCCAACACCTTAGGTACTATCGTGCTTTCAGCAGCGTCAGCGGCCATGGAGATCCTTCCAGATCTACCTCCTCTCCACATTTTTCTGGAGAGAGAGGCTAGATGGACTGTATATAGACTTGTTCACATTGCCAATTGCACAAACCAATTTAATGCAGAGTGCAACAGACTGTTGGTTGACACTGGAAGTCCCAGCATTCTGGAAATGACCTCTAACTTTATGCCTCCAACTCTCAACTACGGACTGCCCTATAAGGTACTGTTCCCGAGTGGAAAAGATTGGATCCTCCGGAAGGAAATATTAGGAGCAGATAGTTGTTGGATCACAGATGGATCAAAAACACCTTCCGGTTCTGGTGCAGGTGTTTTCAGTCACAGACCCAGGACAGAGATATCAACCTGCCTAGGAACCTATGCGACTGTATTCCAAGCGAAAATTTACGCTACTGAATTGTGTGCGGAGAGATTGGGAGAATCCAACCTCATACACAAGTCAATAAAAATATTCTCGGACAGTCAAGCAGCGTTGGAAGCTTTTGGTTCCTACCGAGCGACGTCTAAATTGGTAGCAAATTGCCAAAAACAACTCTCCTCAATAGGAAGACTTAACGGATTGTCTCTGGTCTGGATAACTGGCCATACTGGCCTGGAAGGCAATGAGGCTGTTGAATCTCTTGCAATAGAGGGTGCTGCAAGCAGCTTCATCGGACCAGAACCTATCATTGGCATCGGTCGTGTTCAAATGGAGTTTGAACCATCATTCAGCCAATACATTTATATAATTATGCTATTTTTTTATGGTTTTCGAAGTCTTGTTCTGTTACAAGAGGTAAGTGCAAGAAACTCAGGAGAAGTGTCAGATACCCTTACAAAAGGGAAATAAAACGAAAAAGGATCCACAGGAAGTGCCGATGAAAAGAATAGAGCAATTTACTGGGAACTTTCCCTATTTTTGGATGAAGTAGAGGGTGAACGGAAGAGTTTCACGAACGTTTTACCTTCACCAAAAAATCAACAGCCAACTTTGACTGCGGAAGGCGATTTTTCTGATCCAGAAGTGATTGACGAAAGTGCTCGAAACCAAAATCGTTCTTCCGAATTTTATAAAATTCACTTATTTCTTTTTCGAATTTCGCGTGTGTCCAGAAAATATGGTCCTCCTCTTCATCATTTTTCATATGTTTAAGAATAAACATTGCAATCTGTTTTTTTTCTTTGGATTCGTTTCGTAATGACACACCGATACACTCTCCGTTGTCAGTCAGTACGTCAACTGAACAGATAAACACGCTTTGCTAGGAAAACATTAAAACGCCGCGTGATAAGTTTCACGCACCTGCCGACGCAATTGGGACGCACCCGGTTTCCGCTGCGCAAAAAACACGTCGCTAAGAAAACGTACATTTTGTTCAGCCACACACTGTATAACGATATTTTCTTTCACAATAAATCATAGATGAATAACCCATTTGTTGCCAGGTATTAGACATTATCGATCAAGCTACTGAAAAACTATAATTGTATTTCAGAGAATATGCGTTTTTTCATCATCTTTTAATACCTGCACACGAATTCCCGGCCATTACTGAAGCAGTCGATTCCAAAGTGTTTGAAACGAAACGCAGTTGAGTTTTTCAATTTCAATATCACTTTCGTTAATAAATGACCTTGTTGTGAATGCAAACAAGTATCAAAATATTGATCAAACAGTTTGCATCGTACTGACATAGACAATGTGTTCGCGTAACCTTTACAAAGTTGATAGATAAACAATAACAGTGTTTTGAAAGTGAAATTCAAATAGTTTCATCAGTGTTGAATAATTTCCGAGTATAATGAACGACAAAGTTTCAAACAAAGCGAACTTGTAGTACATAATATCGTCATATTCGAATAAATGAGGAAGAAAAAACGAAAAGGTGATATTTCCAAGTTGCACTCCAAACAGTGGAAATGGCGCACCCTGTACATGCAGAAAACAAAAAACACATGCATCACTGCGACATCGCATGCCTGTCAATATGTGACGTTTCTACCTGAATTTATCAGCGCTTAATTTTTTTATACCGCCAAAATGACCCTAGAAGACAAACCGATTTTACGACGCCAGAAAATGCAATCCAGAGGCATCTTGGAAATCGAAGCACATAGTGGCGCCAGTATCGCCAAGGTCACCAAGAATGAGTACACGTTCTCCAGCTCTCCAAGAGCCTTGTACTCTAACAGGAAAATGGTGACACGAGAAGACGTACCTATCCCATATGCCAATGTGATGTTCGAGAAGAGAATCTTCAGAGGCAGCAACTTCGCTCCGAACATGTTTTGCCAGGGAGATGGCGAATCTGGGGCAGCTCGAGCTGCAGAAGCCAAACGAAGAGCTGCGGCAAGAAAAAAGGCCAAGAGCCAGTTCAGATCGTCACAGCTACGACTTTCCTCACCTCCAATAATCCAAGGAAGGAAGCACGAGCGTGTCCAAACTGAGGTTTATCTGGAGGAGATCTTCGTCAATCCTCCAGTCACAGATATGTGCACTCAAACAGACCTCTTCCTGGAAAGACCGGTATCCCCGTTCTACGTGCCCGCCAAAACAGGAGCAGACGTGGCGACCCAGATCTACCCTGGAGATCTATTCGACTTCGACCTGGAGGTGCAGCCAATTCTAGAGGTACTTGTCGGCAAAACCATTGAGCAGGCTTTGATCGAAGTGCTAGAAGAAGAGGAGCTTGCAGCTCTAAGGGAGCAGCAAAGAAAGTTCCTCGAGCTGCGAGCAGCTGAAACCGCCGAAGCAATTCGCCTGGAAGAGCGGGAAAAGAGGTTGAATAGGGAGAAGGAAAGGAGGATTCAGGAATGCGAGGCAGGTCTGCAAGCGCAGAAGGACATGGAAGAAAGAATCGCAGCAGCTGTGCTCATGCAAGGTTACATGGCCAACTTGCTACCCTCTGTTCTGGAGGGGCTGGAAACTGACGGATTCTTGCTGGACAGTATAAAGCAGGATCTTGATGAAGGCTTCATGCCTTGGTTGCTGAAAGAAGTTTCGCATGAGCTGCAGGACGTGGTAAGCAGTCGTGATATACTCACTGACATTGTCAAGGAGATTCTGGAGAATCGTGCCGAGATATACCAAGCTCTCAACAAGGAGTATCCAAAGGAGGAGATTGAAGAGGAAGGACCTAGTGTCGAAGACGACATTTTGAATGAACACCTCAAGTTACAGAAGGAAATAAAGAAGAAGAATGAGGACGCGGAAAATGCCTGAAACAAATCGACCTGAAATGTTGCTTGTTAGTACTTTGGAACGTATATCTGAGAAATGTACAAGTTTATATTGTATATATGAGAACAATATATTATTCTTTGTTATTGTTAGTGCTTTTGGAAATTGTTCAGTGGTATGTCAGCTTTCACCGTTATTTCTAAAGAATGTTGAGGGTTGATTTTTCTATAGTGAGACGATAGCTGATTGAAGAAACACTCCATTTCAAACTTTTTAATTATTGCTCCTCACTAATGGCAAACTACCACCATGATGTTATACCGCTTCAAACATTTTGTCAGGATATTTATCTACAATTGAATACCAGTAATATGGATAGTACAACTATGATAATTGAACTGAGAAATTATTGAGTAACAAAAGACTGAAAGTAATTTGACTTAGAAATGCCAGATTGTTGGATAATCGTTCTCACTATTTGCGCCTGAAAAGGTATTCGTTGATGATCAACAAATTTGGAAAACAGTGTTTATTTCTTTGGATTTTTATGTTTTGTATTGATTAATAAGTGTAAAATGCTTGAAGAGGTAACCTGGTCGGAAAATTTGAATGATGAATTAAATAATAATTGACACATTGAAATTCTTCAGTCAGAAGATTTAAAATGTTTCTACGTAACTATTTCCTGAGTCAATACTGATATTTTGGAGTCTTCCTCAAGATACAAAAAAAAAACAACTTTTACTTTTTTCCTGTAATATTTTTGAAAACAGGCAGTTTGTCAAAAAGATATTGATAGTTCCAGAAATATCTGACAGAGATATTCGAATGGGTGAGATTATACTCATATAGAATGTAATAGTAGGTAACATAATCTTCAGTTTATATTAGTTTCGAAGATATTCAACATTTTTGCGAAAAAACACTGAAAAATCGTTTTGGAATCTTGAATAACTGAGAATTTTGTCATCGACGACAAATACTCTCAAAAGAAAATATTTGACTTTTCGAGATGAAATACGAAAAATATGCATTTCATGTCATAGAAAATTACGGTATAATTGTATACCGTACCGGTATAATTGTATACCGTAATTGTGTACCGTACCGCTCCAAAGAGCAGACACTTAACGTACAGCCGAAGATACTGAACCTATAATCTTGAAATATGCAGGTAGGTCTTTTGTATAGCGTAATTAAGCATCAAAAAATTAGGCAAAAATGAATTTCGTCAGTTTTGAAGTTGGAAACCTGAAGTTTTGGGTCGATAAAAAAATGTCGTAACTATTTGTTTGTAGTGGTCTGTCACGAAACTTAATGTGACGAACCAAATTCAACGCGGGCAAAGCCGCGTGCAACAACAGTTTGAAAAAAATCTGTTTAGAATCTGTTTTTCCTTTAACCAGTTGTCGCGCCCCTACAAACGACAACCCTCAGAGATCGAAGCTTGTACGAGCTAAGGATTAACGAGGTCTCACCTTTTAACGTATGATTCCTAACACGGGTTGGACGGAAGCAAGTGAAAATCGATCGTTCAGAGTAGGGCTTGAACCACCGACCAACACGGTGGTCAATTCGAGTGAGTGAACAAAGCACCCACGTCGAACCGCCTGGCTACCGACCGACTAGTAAAATATAATTTTTTTTTCGTATTAATCCACATATTTCCTGACAAAAAATACGTAGGACATTGATGATATCAATATCTGACGCGCTCGAGTATGTCCATGCAACAGTATTTTTTTACATATTTAAAAATCTATAGCCGCTTTCCCCACCGATGAAAAGGTATATATTATTCAACATATTTTTCTTCTTATTATCTAAGCTTTGCAACCTAATATGTCTCAATAACGCTAGAGTAAATCCCCATGTTGCATCGTGGGCTCCCCTGCTATTTCAACACCGGAAACGAAAGTATCGAATATTCTACGACAAGGCGGTGATGCAATTCAATTGCCAAAAATTAAGAAAGTCAGATGCAGATAAATGTATCGTAAGATTATTTATTTTGAATAGTTCTAAATAAAAGTTCGCGATAGTATAAATCTACCTCTTACGTGGTAGCCACTATATGCAAAATACTGAGCCATAAATACAATTAAATTGCATACCTTTTTCAGAATGCACATTTTAGAATATCTGTCAAATTCTTATAAAAATTATTACAATTGTCGTTGTAAGTACTTGAGCGCCATCGCCGAGAACGCGATCCGAACGCGGGCAGACGCGTGATGCCAGACGTCGTTGATGGTTGTGTTAGTTCTGCGAATTTCTTCCTAGTTCGAATCTTGAAGCTATTCATTACTCAGTGCAGCTGGCATATTTTTTTAAATACAAACGGGATAGAGTGGGTGGGCCTATTCTACCGTCCACCGCAACCCGCAAGGGTTTTTGGTGGCTCACACCTATTCATACTAGACCAAATGAACTCAGCTTCTTAACAAAGCCGAATAGTTTATATGATGAGGGATCTTTCAGGTAAGAGGCTAAGAGTGCGGGTCTGCCAAACTCTGGGAAAACCTCATTCAGTCCTCAGCGGGGCAAGCACAAGTGTGTCCTCTGCTGCTTCATCGACATACACTGTCTTCCCAGAGTCCGAATCTCTGCAAACGATGATTCAAATGACAGTGACCTGTGAGATGGCCTGTTAGACATCGTAGTTCATCTCTACTGTAGTCCAATAATTGTTTGGTTTCAAGCTATCGAGGGTGAATGAACGCCTTGGAGTGAGCCAATTCTGGAAGATTTTGTCAGAAGTCTTTGAATCTTCTTGCCATCCAGTTGTTCAATGATTGTTTGCCAAAACCTAAAGCGATGCCAAAGATAGTTTCTGGTCCGACGAATCTGCTTGCAGTATCCTCCTTTGCAAAGGAGTCAGCAGCCTCATTGGCAGGCCAGTTTGGCCAGGAGTTCAGACGTTAGAAGTCTTACTAATGAGGACAGTCGTTTTCGGCAATTTGCTACCAACTCAGATGTTGTTCGGTAGGAGCCAAGAGCTTCCAACGCCGCTTGACTGACCAAGAAAATTTTCATTGATTTGTGTATGAGGTTGGATTCTACCAATCTCTCCACACACAGTTTAATAGCATAGATTTTCACTTGAAATACAGTCGCATAGGTCTTTAGGCAGGTTGATATCTCTTTCCTAGGTTTGCAACTGAAAACACCTCCACCAGAGCTAGAAGGTGTTTTTGATCCATCTGTGAATCAACAACTATCTGCTCTTGAAATTTTCTTCTCCTGGAGGATCCAATCCTCTCTACTCGGGATAAGTACTATATGAGACAGTTCGTAGTTGACAGTTGGAGGCATAACGTCAGAGGTCATTCTAAGAATGCTGTGACTTCCAGTGTCAGCTCCAAAGAGCTGACACTAAACGTACAGCCGAAGATACTGAACCTATAATCTTGAAATATGCAGGTAGGTCTTTTGTATAGCGTAATTAAGCATCAAAAAATTAGGCGCAAATGAATATCGTCAGTTTTGAAGTTGGAAACCTGAAGTTTTGGGTCGATAAAAAAATGTCGTAACTATTTGTTTGTAGTGGTCTGTCACGAAACTCAATGTGACAAACCAAATTCAACGCGGGCGAAGCCGCGTGCAACAACTGTTTGAAAAAAATCTGTTTAGAATCTGTTTTTCCGTTAACCAGTTGTCGCGCCCCTACAAACAACAACCCTCAGAAGTCGAAGCTTGTGCGAGCTAAGGATTAACGAGGTCTCACCTTTTAACGTGTGATTCCTAACACGGGTTGGACGGAAGCAAGTGAAAATCGATCGTTCAGACTAGGGCTTGAACCACCGACCAACAAGGCGGTCAATTCGAGTGGGTGAACAAAGCACCCACGTCGAACCGCCTGGCTACCGACCGACCGACTAGTAAAATATAATTTTTTTTTCGTATTAATCCACATATTTCCTGACATGAAATCTAGTCGTGTTAGTATTACCTGACTTTGTGCTACGAACATGCTATTGCAAATATTGAACGGGTGCTACCTCTACAAAAACTATTCATTATACAAAAAAAACAATCACTTGGCAAACTGCACTTTTCTATTCGAGAGGACCATTGCCTCAAGATGGCGGTGCCAAACTCTAGGAAAATTGGGAGAATTTTCATGTAACATTTTTTATTGAAATTACTTGCTCTCTTCTTCTATTGAAATACCTGTTGTGAAAATATTGCAGGTAAAATCTGTTATTCGGAAGGAAATAGTTTAACCAATAGTCGAAGCTAGAGTAGTTCGTGATTTAACGAGGAGAAAATTACTTGATCTTTTTTTTCATCTTTTCAACTTAGGTTAATATATACACATGAGCGAACATCATTTTATGAACTCGAAGTAAAATCATCTGTTCCGAAATCTTTACCATATGTTTTTATATGTTTGCTGATTGATTTACAATTCTGAGTATAATTTTTCTTTTCTTTGCTAGTGCTAGCTCACTGAATAATATCTAGTGACCATGAAAAGATGACTTCTACTGCGAATATTTGAATATTCCTGACAACAGTTCTTCATGGCAATGATGAATGTTTTCCTAGAGTTTGACTTGATGATTGAATCCAGTCTGGTTCATAAGTTGAATGATATCTAGAAAAATGTGCTGAACCGTTTTACAACACATAAACAATTGCAGAAGTTTCAAATGAATTGAGGTGTGATAAAAGGTATTTAGGTTTTTGCAAATATTCAAAAAACTATGAAGAATTGAAGAACTTAAAAAACCTTGAATAATAGGACTAAACAAAAAACTGTACACACCTCAGTAATTTTTTATGCTTTATAAAGATCATATTAGACGTTCTTTGGAGTATTGTTCTCATATATCTTCGCCCCTAAGCTTACCCTGAAGCTGCTGGATTCCACCCAGAAAAGAACCATCTGCCTGATTGGAGATGCGAACCTCACTTGCAACCTTGATAGTCTGGAACATCGAAGAAAGGTTTGGGATTTGTCTCTCTTTTCGATAATTTTTTTTGTTCATCGATCCATTGAAATTAGCTTATGAAAGCAATTGGATAAATCGTCAGTTTGGGATTTTTTTCCAACGATGATAGTAGATGAACAATGAATGTACGAGCCTACTTCAAGGTCGTGCGTCGTTGGTGTTTCAGAGAGGGACTTTAGTGAGTGGAAGAGAGAAACGTGTGACGTAATCGATGCAGAGAAGGATGGAATAAGTATCGGCCTTCTTAGGCCTTCACCCTTAGCCCCCATGTCGCGCACCAGTCACGTGATCATAGTGATCATCGGCAGCTAAGTGAAATTGAATAAAAAAAAATTATCGATATGAGATTTGAACCCAGGACGTCGGCGTGGTAGACGTTGTCCTTAACATCGAAACCAATTTAAGATATCGGATATAATTGCGAATTGTTGGTATTTATAGCGTTTATAGTTGTATTCATACACCCTTATTTTTATGAATTTCAAATTAATATTTGATGCTTACTTTTTTGTGACGTACTAGATAAAGTTTCGGAAAGTGAGACATTTTTTGGAGATTTTTTTCAATTCTCTTTAGTTCTTGAAATATTTGCAAAAACTTAAATACCTTTCTTTACATCTTGTTTTCTTTATAACTTTCGCAACTTTTCATGCCCTAAAAACAGTTTCAGCACATCTTTCTAGATATCATTCCAGATCGAATAAGCCATCGCACGTATATTTCCAACCGTTTTCTTAATTTTTTAACGCTTTCAAATCGTGAACCAGACTAATCTAGATATCGGCAACAACGTCTTCCTCCCGAATAATACCAAAAACCAAACCAGCTCAAAGTTCCAGGTACGAGAATTATTAGCTAGCTGGAAAAATCGAAAAATTCACACAGCGTGCAAAAAAGCGTCTATTGAATATCGCCAAACCTGTAGATATTCGTCGAGTTCGACTTGTCCATTCATGTTACTATCGATTTCTCTGAGGATTTCGTGAAGCTCCTCACCGGTAACTTCTTTCTCGCCGTGTTGCTGTAACGATAAAAAACGTTGAGAGGATGATGATTCAACTTACCTGTAAGTAATCGGATAGTTCCAGCTGTCCGTTATAAGTGACGTCGATATCCGACTGTAATGTGTGCATTTCATCGTCGGTTAGCTTAATTCCTAATTTCTGAAAAAGTCTGACTTGTGAACATAATTTGAACTGATAAGACATTCTTTGGAGATTCTACATTGCAAGCATGAGTGGCATGATATTTTGAGGAACGCGAATAATGGATATGAATAATATAAATCATCCAAAACCACTAGGAAAATTAAAAAATTAAGTGATAAATAATTTTCTTGAAGAAATGAATTCTCAATACTGAAGATACTTTTATTATAAGTTCTGCCCCTGTGCTGAAAAAGGCTGTAGACAATATTTGAGGAAACAAAATTGTTATATTGGGCTCTAGGAGCCCTAGGTTGGTGTAGGTAAACCTTTTTTATCCCTTAACATCGAATTATTTCAATTCTGTTTACGTTCACCAACCCAGGGCTCTAGGAGCCCTGTAGTGATTGCCTCACAATTTTTTCAACTTCGTCTCTTCAAAAAATGGTTGCAAAATATTTTTCTATAATTGTTTGTTCGAGGTTGTCAAATTCTTCGCAACAAACAGCAACTTCTGCTCTGCCGAACGTAGAAATATGAAGCTCTCTTTATAAGTAGTACGCTAGTTGTACTAACTCTTATACTATAATCAGTGACTGACTTAAAAGGAGCCCAAATCATGTTATCTATGATCCAGAAATTTGCAAAATGACTTTCATTATGAAACTTACATCAGAAAGATTTTTACATAACCATTTGTGTTGGCTCAAATGTTGGATTTCTGCGAGCTACGTTTCATGTATGGAAAATAAATCGATATTTAGATATTTCAATTGTATTGAAAGCTGAACGCACATTATTTATGAGACTTGGAATTGTTTTCAATTACCTACTGTGAAGCTATATACGTAGTGGTTTCAAACACTTTTCCAAAAGTAGCAAAAATTTATGAAAACAATGTTATACTAAATCCTGTGAATCCTTATAATAACTACATGAAACATGATTTCCGAATTTGACCAGGGATTATAAAAATTCATAAAAAATCAATGAGATAGTGACGCCAACTTATGAATTTTCATTCCCTTCCAATGTCGATTGGTGCTAACCAATAGATTGTTCCAATATAAATAGTTTCAAATTTCAATGTCGACATTTACCTTTAGACTCCTGCGAATATCGTTAATCGAAACATATCCTTTACGATCTTTGTCTATGATCTGGAACCTCTTAATGTAAAGCTGAATCTCTTCCCTATTAAGATTAATTGGAATTTTGTCTCTACTGGCGCGATTGACATTCTGGCCCATTTCATTCTGCAAAAACTCCGTAGCTTCTTTCATTTGCCTCTTCTTTTCATCTGCATGAAAGTAAGTCCTGTTTATATATCAAAAATCAATCTATGAATTTTGATGAGAGATAGAAAATGAAGATTTTTGTTCCGTACTAATAGGATTTAATATTTTCTTCACAAAAGTGAAGAAATGAAAATTTTTCACATAGTCAGGTTTGTAATGATCTACAAAATGACCAGTACATAATTATAATAATAATGATGATACTTTTATTATTCATCATTTCTACAAATCACAAATGTTGTAACTGAGGATATAATATGAGGTAATAATACATGAGATAATACATAAAATTTTCATGGTGAATAAATGATAATACAGTTCAGATAGGAATCACACGTTAAAAGGTAAGACCTCGTTAATCCTTAGCTCGCACAAGTTTCGACTTCTGAGGGTTGTCGTTCGTAGGGGTGTGAGAGCTGGTTAACGGAAAAACAGATTTTTTTTAGCGTTCAAATTTACGAATTCCATAGATAAGTTGAACACATGTGTATAACAGGCTTTTATAGACGTCTTCAAAAAACTTGAAAATGAGAATGTGAAATAAAATCTATGAACAATAACGATCCTGGGAAACAAAGATCTCGACTTTTTAGTGGAAATGTTCCAAAGAAAGGAAGAAAGCAGTTAATCAACTCTATACAAATATTGGTGAGTCATGCAATTGATTATTTTCTTTCTTTCTCTGAAAGATTCCCATATACCCCTCTCAAACGAAGATACTGTTTTGCTCCACCCCATAATTACCAGTAGCGTCCAGGTATATAGTAGGTAAAACAAACCTATTAACAATGAAAATACAAAAACCGTGGCCATACAATTATTAGATCTAAAAATGTCTTCAATAGTCCTCATTACAAAAAAATGTGAAATGTGAACATAAGCTGCAGTAATTGTTTAGAAGTTTTCGTTGTCTCTTGAGAAAGCTAGCTTCGTTCATGGATCAGATTCGAGAGAAAATGCTCTAGTTCCAGTTCTATACATGAATCACCAGACTGAATGACTGATATAATTTGATAATACATGCTACTTTTCAAATGTCAGATTTCAGTGGAATATTCACATTACATGATACGCGAATAGCACTGTTGAAGTTAGATGAAGTGGTAGTGATCCCGCGCACCACTTTTGTATTGACTATACTAGAGAAAGAAGATTACCCTAGTTTTAGAGATACTATTCACTTTTCATGAATGTTAATCCGATATCAGGACAAAATGAAATGTATATCAACCAACGATACCTTCAGACCATCCTAATTCTTCTCCCATTATTGCGACGATATCTGGCAGGGCTTCCTGCGCTGCTTGTACGTTCAAGAAGGCCAATCTTACTCTACGAGCTATCATGTCTATGGCTGTCATGGCGTACTCCCTCACTCCATATCGAACTTCTGCATCGATATAGGGAAATTCTGGATGTAACTTCTTACCAATAATGGGCCAACGTTTTCCTGGAAATTGTAAATTGAATGAAAATAACTAAAAATCTGAGTGTATGCCTTATATAATCAAATGATGATGATAGTGGATAGTTTCACCTAAATGGACTCAACGATGACACACATACGAGTGATACAATGAAGTAGAATATGAGCAGTTTTTATATATCGATGAAAAACTGATATGAAAAGAAAACATATTCAAAATTTAGGACGAAAGCTTTTTCCAATACTTGGTGTTGTATCCAGAATAGGATACTAACTAACTCATTACAAATAACTATAACATTACTATAACAAACTTGTGCCAGCGTTATTTATAATCCCCAAAGCAGTTCTGACATGCAATTATGCACTTTATGGAGATATATCTCTGAGCTCTCTCAGCGATTCGGTTTTTATTACTTCAATTGTCACAAAACACCGTCTTTTCATGGGTTTCTCTAATCTTGGAAACAAATAAAAGTCACAGGAAGCTAAATCTGGTGAATATGGTGGCTGAGGCATGATTACAGTATTGTTTTTGGCTGAAAAATCATGCAGAAGCAATGACGGGTGAGCAGGTGCATTATCATGATGCAAGAGCTATGGACTGTCTCGTCGTATAACTAGGGGAAAGTACTCCTCGTTGACCGTACGGCCATGTGGCAAGAACTCCTGTTGGACTGCGCCACGTTAATCGAAGAAAACAATAAGCAAAACCTCATCATTTGATCGAACATGGCCTGTGCTTTTGGTCTTGGATCTCCTGGGCTCCTTAATTGGGATGATTGGACTTTAAATCGTTGTCACAAGCCTATAGCATATATCTATGATTCGTCACCTTTTAAGCAAATCTGAATTGCCATTGATGTCATTCAACAATTCCTGAGTGATGCTCACGCAACGATTTTTCTGGTCAAAGTTCAGCAATTCTGGAAACGAACTACGCTGCCACACGCTTCATGCCCAAAATTTTCAAAAAAATAGCATGTCATGAGCCAACCGGCATGCTGACATCCTCAGTAACTTCTCAAATAGTGATACGACGATTCTCCATAACAATTTTCTTCACATTCTCATCTTTTTTATCGCTTACTGATGTGCTGGGGCATCCAGGGCGAGTACAATCACCGTAGGCCACTGTCAACATCTCTCTACACAAAGGTTGGTGCGAATTCTTCAATCCATGTTTTTGACAGCGGAAAATGCAAAACAATTGCAACTTTCATGCCTCACACCAACAAACGAAACATGCTAAACAGCTGAATTTGTGAATATATGTGCGAGACGCGTACACCAACATAAAAATCGAATTTGCGTACCTTGCACAGATCTCGTATTTATCCTTACCCAATTATTTCAAATTTTTGGTATTGAGTAATCGTATGGACTTCAGCTAACATATGATAATAATAATGATTTCTATTTTGCAAAGAAATATATATGTTTATAGTAGGAAAAAAGAAAACAGTAATCCTATAACTGAGTATGAACAAAACAACAAGAAAAAAAAACATTAGATTTACAGAAGCCAATTATAAATTTACTCAAACCATTCGAATGTTTGGATATAGACTCCACTAATGAACTGACAGTCTGTCTAGAATTTGAATATACAATTCACTTCCACGAATATGTGATATTCCATATTTCTTATTCAGCCATATCAAATGATAACTTATTTTTTAAATTATCCATTGTTTTATAATATACAGTGCATTTCTTTAATGCCTCCCCTTTTATTTGTTGAACGGGTCGACTGAAGAAAATTGAAATTTGGGATAATGAAATTAATGCATGAATACTTTATTTTGGAGTAAAATTAACAGATGAAACTTTCAAGATGACGACTGGGCGCCATCTGGGAAAAAATTGAATGAAAAGGGGGGTCTTGTGACACATATTTTTGAAGCTCCTGGCAAATGCTTCACAACCCTAGAATATAATGTCAATATATGGCGGAACTTTTGATAATTGCCTGAATACATTGACATTCAACTACATAATATGAGGTAATAAGCTTAAGGTAAGTTCAGAAGATGCTCGAAATGGTTGCCTTAAAATATTTATTATTACCTGCCGTATAGCCAATATTGAAGCAGGTTCAGTTTCGTACAGCTTTTGCTTCAAATAGCCCCATGAAAAAAGTCCGAAGGTGTTAAATCTGGTGAGCGGGCTGGCCATTCTGTAGCACCTGGACGGCCAATCCAACGACCGGGAAAAGTAGTATCCAAATAGTTCTTACTTGTCTGAAGTAATGTGGTAAATTATTCTATTATTAATAAAAATTTGCACCTGTCAACGAAGCCATTTTGGCCACAGCGAAAGCTCTATCCCCATAAGATTTAGCTAAATGTTGAGCGACTTCACATTCCAATCCAAAATCTTGAACAAGACGAATGTACATGGTTGGAGTCCAATCCTCAGCACCATAAAGCACCATACCATCAGTTTGACTTCCTTGGTATTTTGGCTGTAAGTTACAAGCTAAAAAACGTATAAGAATGAATCATTCATCCCCAGATGATGCATGTTTCTATTCTCAAAAAACATTTCCCTTACCTTCAATTGCTGCATCTATGGTCTCGGAAGCCATAGATCTATACGTAGTCCATTTACCTCCAGCTATCGTAACGAGATTGGAGTCACTGACGTGGACAATGTGATTTCTTGCAAGTGATTGGGTATCAGGTTTATTCGGATCAGATACCAGCGGTCTAATTCCACTCCATGCAGATAGTACGTCGCCTCTCCTAACTGAAAATGGCAGCTTCGAGAATATTACCAAGCTCAAAATTGAATGATGGCTCAAACTCACCTTCAACATCAGGATTTAGGTAATTCTTGACCTCCTCCAGAATGAACATGATTTCATCTTCTGTAGGTTTTGGATTGTGCGTTACTTGACAGGGTAAGTCTGTGGTACCTGCAATGGTGTGTTTCTGCCAAGGCAGGAAGAAGATTACTCTTCCATCACTGGTGGATGGATCCAGAAGGCCCATTTGTTCTGGACTGTAGTAACCTGAAAGTTGATATTTCATTATTAGAGAAAAGGGCAGAAGTAACGCCTATTGTGTTCAGAAAAGATATGCTGTGTGAAAATTCAAGATCTGGGCTGAAAACTCTTGGGTCTATGGAAGAGAACGCTTTATTTATCAACGTCATTTCTATCTACAATCATTTAACACTTCAATATCACTTTTGTGAAACGATTCATCTTTTGCCTCATGACGTGGATTGCCGCTGATTGCTAAAGATGCTTTTTATTGATCTTCCGGTCACAGAACCATATTTGGTTGATGAGATCATTTCATTTTATATCAGATTGAGTAGAAGGGTACCAACAATTGTTTTTCAAATGAGACACAAATAGAAGTAACAGGCAAGTTGAAGACTATCATTGTAGAGAAGAATGTTGAACAATGTGGTTCTGAGGATGACAGTGTCAAAGCTAATTGTAACACCCAGGGGATTATTGGTGAAATTATTCAAGTCCTTGCATTTACCTGGTAACGTTATATGAACACCGCTACTGGGCGCGCAGATTTCCCTGACGCTGGCATCATCCATTTTTCTAATACTATCAGTAAATGGTCCTGTGGCGTTGATGACGCATTTCGCGGGTATGGTCCACGTTTTACCGGTGATTTCATCTTTAACATCCACGCCGCAAATGAGTTCCTTTCCATCTTTAATTTCCTTTTTGAGCGCAGTTACCGTAACATGGTTGGCGATTGTAGCACCATGTTTCGTTGCCGTAAGCGCCACCGCCAGGTTCATTCTTGCATCATCTTGTTGACCTGGAAAATACAGAACGAATAATTGAATTCCAGATAATGTGGGCAAGTCAAACGGTTTGTAAGAAATGAAAATATATATAACTTAATCGGACAGTACATTTGAGAAATTAAATGGATACCGATGTGTATTCTGAAAAATCTTGTAAATTCAATAATACAGTTTCACCTCTACTTTCTGTTTGAATAACTTTATGCAAGTAGTTTTTTTTGATAATCAATTATGGTCGTTACCAAAAATAATTGCAACAACCTGTTCATAAACTCAGTCCAAAATACAGAGATGATAAATAGAAGGTTCCATATGAAAAATACTTTCTGAAGAAATTAACTTTAAATGTTCAAGCCCGTCTCGGATATACCTACAAAGTAGGTTGAATGAACTGACGCCTATCAGAAAACAACTACTCCCCTGGCTAATACCACGAAGGGCGCACTTGCAGACCGGTTTCGGGCTCCTTAGCCACTCGTCAGTGAAAGATAGTGACCATCATCGACCTAAAGTTAATGATATTCCATAATTGAAAATCGAAATTCTTTCAGAGTATTTCATTCCTCGCCTTGAGTTGGAGCGAACATCAAAAATGTCACTCCATCTAGTGGACGAGGTACTAACCAACTGCATATCCGAAACTTGCCCGATTTCTCTGAATAAGGAAGAAAAACTTCTTTTTAGTCAGTGGGCTATGCTTGAAATCTACAGAAATGAACTTTAAATGTTCAAGCCAGTCTCGGTTATACCTACACAGTAGGTTGAATGGACTGACGCCTATCAGAAAACAACAACAGTCTATTCAACTTACTGTGTGAGTATATTCGAGACGGGCTTGAACATTTAAAGTTCATTTCTTTAGATTTGTTTACTGCCTGTCTTCAAGCATAGCCCACTGACTAATGAGAAAAATACTTTGTTTTAAAATATGCACCGCATAGGTATGGAAAGATTGTCAAATCATTCAAGTAAAAGGGACTCAGTTTGTACAATTAAAAGAAGAATGAGAAAAATATTTCTCTTCTGGGAACATTTCAGAGGTTAACATCAAGATTTGAAATTTTTTGGATATTATTTGGAATCGATATTTATGTTCTACACCTACCATCATAATAGACTATTCCACCACAAAGTTTGTCACCTCGTAACATGGGAAACAATTCAAGAGCGTTCTTTTTCGACAAGAAGTATGATGATTTCACTGTTTTTGAACCCGCTACGAAGTCATACATCTTGATACCAAACCAGTAGTAAGGCACTTGCCACCATCTGAAAATATTCAGTCAATCAGTAGAGATTCAGCGAATTTATCATTCAATGAGTAGAAGCAAAACCTTTTGAAAATGGTTCTTTCCTTACCATAAACAAAAATATTGAGTAAACATTACAGAAACAATATTGGTTGTTCTTTTTTCAAAGTGAACGTATTTTGTTTTATTTTTTCGACCTGCTTTATCTGTTTGAAAGTTTGGGTATCATACCTCCCTCTTTGGTTGATTCTCGAAAATAAAAATCCAATAGATTCATCTAGATAAAAATGGATGTTTGTTGGTTGGTTGTTTGGTTGGTTGGTTGGTTGGTAAGTGATAAACTTCTACATCGCTCAACCGATCGTGATGAAACTTGACATGTATAAGTAATTTTTCATAGAGAGGGTTTTAAGGTTATCAATTTTTCGGTAACTCGCCACTAGATGGCGCTGTAGAACAATTTTTTGAAAGCACTGTTCTATAACGCTGCGCAGGCCTAAGTTCGTTGATTCTGAATCTGTCAAAACATTGGAACAGCAGCGATACAGCAACATAGTACTAGTATCTTATAAAAAAGCCTCTAGATAGTAACCCCCTCAATGGCAGTCACGGAATAAAGAATGAGTTTGGAGATCATATATAAACTCCAGCGAAACATGCAGTCAATATAAATATTGTACTCACTTGTAAACTGGAAGCATGATCGGAAGGGGATGTGCTAGATGTGGAGCTTGATTCAGCATGGATGCTCTCTCATGCAAAGCTTCTTTCACCATCCTATATTGTTCGAAGTCTAGTTGCATGATTGCTTTCTGGAGATACCGCACCCCACCATGAATCAGTTTTGTGCTTCGACTTGAAGTGCCACTAGAGAAGTCGTCGGCTTCTATAAGGGCAGTCTTCAAACCTAAAACCAGACGAGTTTATGTACATCATCGAAATAAATTAATACTATGTTACTACTACGCTGAATAAATACCTGGAGAAAAGATTATAATCAGATGACGAGGTTTGATTTCACCTATTGACTAATAGTTCAGTGTTCATTCTGAAAAATAACCCTCTGACCTACCTCGTTTGCACAAAAAAGTAGTGCTGGAGTAAATTTGAATGAATGTGAACAAAAAAGAATGACCAGAAAAGGATGGACATTCAAAGCAGCTAACTGCAACGGCTGAATTTTTATACTTAAGTTTCCCTCAATGGGGAATCTACAGCAGATATAACAATCAATGCTAAGTATGAAGTGAAACTTCTTGGTGATTTTATGAAAAACTGCAAGAAATAACAAGGGTGTTAATGTCCAACAACCGCTATTGAGAAATCAGTAGGAAAAATAGTGTTAAGATCTTTATTCGGGTTTGAAGGCCGTCGTGGTTTGGAACTGTATAGTAACGTTTCGCCAGCACGAGGGGCTGGCTTCTTTGGAGGTTTATTAATCTTGATGGTTCACCGATGGTTCACACTATGTACTCTACGTAGTGCAATTTCATGTTTGAATGAGTTCATCAATATCGTCCTCGTAGTCTCTTACCTCTGGTTGCAGCATCCAAGGCGCATCCAGCACCCGTAGCACCTCCACCAATGATCACAACATCGAATGAGTCAGACTGAAGGGATTTGATTTGGTCAGCCCTAGATGGCAGGATTCGTTTCGGTTTTATTTGTGCTCGCTCGGCTTTTACTGCAGGCCACTGTGATACAAAAAGAAGGTACTTATTTGAACTTATGAAATTTCAGTGTGACATCTTGAAGTATCAATTAAGGCGTGTTCTATATTTGTAGGATCTTCGGATTCATCTTACATACATATAATGGTTACATATGATACAAATATTCTAGAGAATTCGAAATGAAAAACATTTTGAAAGAATAGAGGGCCTAACTGTAGAGCAAGTTATTTTGTGACAGTCAAGCTTGTGAATCCAAAAGTTAATGTCAACCAACCTTTAAGATTATCCCTATTTCATTCTTGCAAACTATTGCATATTATTATATTTTCATTGTAACTTCCATTCAACGCATCTATGGGTGTCCAGAAGACTTAGTTAGCATTTACGCTCGACTGAATAGAGAAAAACTTCTCCCGCAGACCAAACAAACTTGCACGCCTACCACTGCATCCATGCAGTGAATATCATGGATGTGGACAGCTCCTTTTCTTGTACTCGTGGGAGCTGAGTGGACCAGGAATACAAACAGAAGGAGAAGAACTTCACGTGCGATTCCACTTCACGAACATTATGGAGAAGTTTAATAATGCTATTATGTTTCTGCAGTGAAAAGCCTTAGAAAATCGTCATTGCATCAGCGAGTCTTCGGCTAGTCCGGAACCACCATCTACCAGAAATGAGGAAGAGCTTCTGTGACGCCAAAGCACAATACCTGACCTGGAAGCTCACCGATACCAATGAATACAGGCAGTAAATCCACTTTTGTGAATACCAGAACAATGGAAGTAATAACCCGAAGTAGTTCATTTTGAATAGATGAATGAGTTTGAAAATGGAATGTATCTCACAAGTAAAGTTGTTCAGATCATGACCACATACAATTCAAAATCAGACCCGAATTTTAGTTCAGTTCGAATGGGTTTTGGACAGCTCCAAAGTGAATGGTATATTCAAACCTCCACTACAACCCGTTTTAATCTCGTCCGACTCACATCCACAAAACCTTAACCATCTTCTTAACGAAGCCGATGACTTATCTCGTAACTCTGTTAGGTTGGTTGACAGGAACTGAAGTTTAAGAACTAAGGAGTTCCTGCTCTTAATACACCAGTCTACGAGTAGCGACGGAAAGGAGTTTCTTCACGACAGAGTTCTAAATTACCGTGATGAGGATTTCTACGATAAGAGGATGCTAGATATCTCGAAGATTCCTTTGGTAACACTAATGTGCTTGGAGTCAAACATCCTTTTGACACAGATATACATACTACAGAATGAAGCCATCATTGAAATACAATTCAGTTAGGTGATGACACTAACACAAGTGCCCTTTTTACTGCTAAAAAAGGACTCAACAAACCTAGAGTTGCAAGCAGTAATCTCTACAATAAACATTATCCCACAATCAGCCTGAGATCAATCAAAATTTTTTTGAATATGGGAAATATCTTGCACGAAAGAGAGGAAAACCTAGAGAAGCTTCAAAAAAAGGAACGAAATCAGATGTATTGATCGATAGAGAGAGGTCTCCAGGATTCTCACGAGAGAATCCAGGGAATCATGAAGAAAGTAATATGAGGATGTAAGTATGCGCTGACCTTATTATTGTCTCGAAGAAACCGTGGAACAATCGACAGGAAGTACAGAGAAAGTATTGAGAACTTTATTGCGTCCACTTTTCCAAATCAGTTACTACAAAATTGGCATTGAAGTTCTGAAAACAAATTAGAAAAGGCAGCCTACAAAGAGGTGTTCTGGAAGAATTGACAGATGATAATAAAAGTGATATATTTTATGAGGCATCGGGACTACACGGAATTTATCCAGTTATATCACATGGAGGAACCATAACTCATACTTCAAAAGCTGTGTGTATTTTCTAGAGGAAGTTTGGCTCTGGGATATACTGTATACTGTTTGGAAATATCAGAAAAACTACATTTAGAGCACATCGGGGCTGAATCATCCGCTAACAGATCACTGCAATGCGACTGAAATAAGCGTACTGGCCAAATATGTCTTAAACGCTTCTGGTCGGGTGATAGAGAAAATTGGAAATATTCATAATGATAAGAAACAAATGCTTCCAGTCACTTTCTTGGACACTGTTTCATTCTAAATAAATCATCCAAGTTGCAGATAGAGAAAGATCTTCACACGTAAGATAATAGTAGCACTGCTGTCCTTAGAACGTTATTATCCCCATTGTTAACGGTTCTTGTAACGAAAGAACTGCGTCTTCTTGACGCAATAGTTCTTTCGAACATTGAAAGCAGTGAGCTGTGTGAATAACTTACACATCATTGACTGGAACAAATACCATAAAGTAGCAAGGGGACTGAAATCAAAAATTACCAGTCACCAAGAGGACCAAGATAGAGAAATAAGGACCTCTGAAACTTCTGGACGAAGATGTAAAACTATATTCAGTAAGGGCTATGACCATTTCATTTGATTCACCAGGGCGGTCCCAGAAGTAACCAGCCTGATCTAGAGATGGCGGTATTTGTTCGAAAAATATCACTGTATTAGAATTTGTTTTGAATTTGAAGACGCTGCGTTGTTCAGCATTAACAGCAAACGTTTTCAGTGAATTTGTGAAAATTGAGAAAATTGGTCATCGTTATGTGGTACAATACTTTTATTTGAAAGGTCTGAGCCCAACCAATTCAAAATCTGAACTGGATTATACTCTGGGTGAGTCTGCTCCTTCGTTTACAACAATGATATATTGGGTAGCCGGGTTTAGACGAGGCCATACGAGCTGCCAAGACGAACATCTCGGTGGTCGACGAAATGAGGCGACAATTCCAGAAACGGTGAAGAAAATCCACAAAGCGGTACTGAATGATCGTCGACTGGATGTGTGCGAGCTAGCAGACTTAGTAGACATTACAAAAAGAAAGCGTTTGCTCACACTCGAGCGAAAACAGTGTCATGGCATTTGGTTAAAACAGAGTTGTTTCATTAAAATAATGCACCAGCTTATTATCGCAACGACCAAAAATAACGAATTAAAGTTTGAATTGTGATCTCATGCACTCTATTAGTCAGATTTAGTCCCTCGGTTTATTTTCTGTTCCTGAATTTGAAAAAATGACTCAGTTTTGTCGGCAGTTAATGACTATTTTGGGGAGGAAAACAGTTCTTATGATGAAAACGGTATTGAACGTCGCTGGAAAAAGTGTATAGAGCTGCAAGGAGATCATGTTTCAAAATAAAAACTTTTTTCCAAATTGTTTGTTTTCTTTGTTGGGCCGGGTAGGGGAGACTGGGGTAATTGCGAACACCTAAGGAAAAACTGAAATTAAACAAAACCCGTTAAAGTTATGAATGCTATTCATCAATGAAAGTTAACGTTAACTAATCAATCTTATGTTCTCATAATCAACGTAGATAAATGTTCCATATGAAGTAAAATATTAATACAAAAACAAAACATTGGAGTTTGGGATTACCCCACATCACATGGGGTGATCCCGGATGATCTGTAGGGTGATTACGAACATAGTCTAATCAGAACATATTCTCGGAGATTCTACCAGCATAATTTATACTAACATATTTGTGTTCTGGTCTTGTGGAAATTGGATATAGTTCTTTCATTATTAATTTTTGTTGATATTTCATTATTATGTTGTTAATTTAAATGTAATCAGTTTTGAAAATGGTGTAATAGCCGAAACTGGTCAACAATGAAGAAATATAGTGGAAAATAGACAAAAGTGTGTTTTTGTAGTGTATCCTCAGTGAACATGAATTTCCACAAAATAAACAAGTCGTCAATCGAAGAAGTGGATCTTCATACTTTTCATCACAAATTAGGCAATAATACTCGGTGTTCTTTCCATCACCTTCATCTGTAACTGTTGGATTAGCAAAAGATATGAAGTGGTATAACCAATCTACAAATAAGTTCTCGTTGATCCAACCTGAATCACTTACGGCTGCTATCATATCAGGATTGCCCCCACGTAACAACATTACCACTTGTTGCCATACCGACTTGTTTGTGGCCTTTTGATGCTAAAATCCTTGAATTTCTTTGGACATTGGATATATCTGTCTCGTACACATTGTATATGCGAATGGTATCAAAGAGGTGTTTGGTTTGTGAAATTTCTAAATTATTGAAGAACATTTTCACTTCTGTTTCAATAGAAGTCGTAATTCCATTGATAGAATAGGACTCAGATTTACGTAGTGAAATATTAGGGTGCCTTTTCTCAAATCCATGAATCAGTCTTTTTCTGCCATTTAAGATGTTTTGTCAAAATTGTGCTTTAAATTATTCACTTCGCAAATTTGAATGATATTTTTCGTACCATTCCTATAGTTAAACCATAAAATAATTTATTGTATTTCATGATATATTCCTCTAATTCTCTTTCTTGTTCTCCAGAAAATATAGCCTTTCTGCCAGTTTTTGTCACCTGTATAACTTCTTTCTTGAGATAGTAGTGTATACTACTTTTCGGAATAAAATAAATAGCAGCTGCTTTTCCAAATGAATAGTGTTTTCTGAGTTCTAATTTGTATTTGGTCTCAGTCTTTCTTTGGTAATTTCGTGGCATGTGAAATATAGTCAGTTGAATATAAATATTTTAGAACACATCATTTACAATTTCATATAGATGCAGGGCAGAAAACAAGGATATATAATAAAAAAATGATATAAAATATACACAATACTACAAACCAATATTTTATATGAGGTTGGAATAGCGTGGTGCACGCGGTTACTCCCTAAAAACATTGTTGAATGATACATTAATAAGAAAAAATAATGTGATATTTTTATGTAATACGTAAAATATTACACACCTATTCAATTTTAGTAAAAAATATATATGAAATTGTTGATAAATCTTTAAATAAAAATACCGTGTAAAACGAGCGCGTCGTCACTTCACCAATTATTGTGCAGCACTACGTCTGGGATGGACTCACGATTGCATCACTCGGAATATCTTTCATTCTTTTCTAATTTAATGAAACATATACGTCCTCGATTACCCCGTGTCCGTGAATCCCCACCTTCCCCTACTTCTGAAACTACCCTTATCTCGAGATTTGTCAATAAGAAATTATTTCACAAACATTAATATATCTCCCGATTGATTGATAACGATATTCGTGATAATGCTGTTTCAATAGTTTCTCAATTTCATCACAGATGTTTATCTTCATACCAGCCATTGAGGCGATATATTTACTGAAAAAGTCGAATTCTTTTACCACTGTTACACCATTTCACTATTCTACGAATTGTTGAATCATGAGGTGCTACCTAAGGTGAAGGAAGTATTTTTTGAGAAACGGTACTTACCGCATTTTCATCTTCTTTGAGTAAAAAATATGTTGCAACTCCTGCTCCCACCGTTCCAGCAAAAGTTCCTACAGCAAATTTTTTCAGTCTGGAAGCCATTGTGGTTCAGCTCAGGTCTGAAAAACAAGAATTTTTCGAAAACTATTCAACATGATTCTTTCAGTTTTTGAGGTTATGCCTAGACGTCAGTTTGACGTTAGATATAACGAGGGTAGGAGTTTGTTTGAAGGTGGTTTACGATGTTTTTTGTGAATGTAACAAGTTCGGCCTTTCATTGACTGAAATGGTTCGGAATCTATTGAAGAATAAATAAAATAAAAATGAATTGGATGTTGGAATTATTGAAAGTACTGAAAACAATCGGGCCAAAATTATTATTGACCTCTTTCATCTCAACAGTGATACACATTGTTCAAAAAAATCGATGAAGTAAGACATGAAGTTGTATTTTTATGACAGAAATGAGTATTGACTTTTTCTAAGTTAGTTTAAAAGTGGTTGACAATGTTTCGTGGTGCATTTCATTAGTTTAGACTTCCATTGTCTGATATGACATGAACTGGTTTGAAATCCATTAAAGAATCTGTGAAAAATTAACAAGATTAGCTGAAAAATAACAATTGTATTAAGCAAAAAAATACTGAAATTACAATGAAATGAAATACAATCAACAACAATCGTAAAATTGAACTTTTAACACGAGATGAAAATAAAAAAAATCATTAACAAAAAATGAAAATTAAAAGATTCCAATCCAAGTTACTTCACGACGTTTCGATTGTTAGTATCCACAATCGTCTTCGGGAGATAACTAGACTTAATTCTTCCGAGATCTGGGTATTTATAGGTCATTCAAGCGCTTTCACCTATTCTCTCTTCCCTCTCTCCGCTTCATCGGTTTTAGCGGGAGCTGACCTTTTGGCGAGAGTTGGTCGTGTTCCGCATGATTAGAGGTTTCCATATGTTACGTATCTCTACGCTAGCTTAGCTGAATACGTTGTTGGACAACATATATGTGGCTTCTTTGGATTTCCTTCTTGCGGATGATTTCAGCTTGAGCCTACTTGGAGCCCTCAAGCATAGAGATACGCAACATATGGAAACCTCTTATCAAGCGGAACACGACCAATCCCCGCCAACCGATCAGCTCCCGCTAAAACTGATGAAGCGAAGGGAGGAAAGAGGGAAGCACTCTAATGACCTATAAATAGTCAGATCTCGAAGGAATAAGTCAAGTTATCACCCACAGTCGATTGTGGATACTAACAATCGAAATGTCGTGAAGTAACATGGCTTGGAATCTTTAAATTTTTAATTTTTGTTTCTTATTGATAATTTTTTGTTTTTCATCTCGTGTTAATAGTTAATTTTTTTGATTTTTTGATTGTTGCTTGTATTTTATTTCATTGTAATTTCAGTTTTTTGCTTGATGTAATTGTTATTTTTCAGCTAATCTTTCTAATTTTTTACAGACTCTTTCAGGAATTTCAATTCAATTTATATCATATTAGACAATGGAAGTCCGAACTAATGGAATTTTCTTAGTTACTTAAAATGGCGTTGAAGAGGAGTTGAAGTCAAGAGTTTCTGGCCCGAAACTTCAAGAGGTACATCTAGGAATACGCTTATATTACGTTGTGTAGCGTTTCTGTGAATTAATCTGTCATAGTTTCATAACGAATGAAATGAAAAAAGTGGTTTCTGTCCAATAAAGTATTCACATGTTTGAAAGTAGTTATGCAAGATGGGTTATTTTTCTTTAGTTCGATTCTGAAATACACTTCCCAGCATGATCTATAGATTTTTGTAAAAAATTTATTTTGAAGTTGATTGCTTCCTTTTTTTCTTGGGATGTCTTCCATATTTTCTGTATAAAGAAGTAGGAGGCCAGAAAGCTCTTCTCAAATTTTTTATTGATATTACAGGAACGAATTTAAGAGTTTTTCAATTTGTTCACCATTTTTAGTCACTTATGATATTTTCCCAAACTACTTTCCATACGTAACTATCAGCATTTTTTCTAGGATTCCTCTAGGAAAGCTCTACATATTCTGACTTTTTCGTCATTTATAGATCTTCATGAAATATCTGTTATAATCAGATCAGGCGAACTTGATGCCCGGAAACATTCGAAGTTTATGTGAGTGAATGATCTATGCATTTCTCCATTGAAACGGAAAGTTGGAGGAAAAAATATGAGATATCATCATATCAGATAGTCACGAATTAAAGCCCAAATACAGCATATGTAGACTGAACAAGAGATAATACAATCTGAGTCATATAATCATTTCATGCCGCAAATTGAATCAGATGAAATTGGTTTGATATAATTGTTTCTGCATCGGTTAATATCAAAAGCAGTGTTGAAAAGATAATATTTGAATATGATAAAGGAATTTTTATCAGTTGAACCAGCAATATAGAGTTGAGTTTTAATGGCATATATTAATACAAGAATTATGATTATGTATTTGTTTTCGTATTCAAATGCATGATAGAGAAAACTTATAAGTGACTTTGCTACTTTCAGTGTACCTATCTAGTAAGTAGTTGAAAGTTGGTAATCTCGAAAATCACCAGAAAAGTTACCAAGTTGCATCATCTGTTTGTTTCCTGTCATTCGTCCTTTCGCAGAAATAAAATTACATGTTGCATGAAAAAACTTGCTCGTTTAGGACAGTGGAGATCGATGAGCAACCCAGGCATTTCCTGAAGGCGAAAACCCACCAAAAAAGACCATGGATACTGTATGATGGTCAGTGGCTTCAACCGGGCCAAACCATCATAGCAGAGACCTATCGTGAACTGATTCTAAAATAACCTATTTTGATTGAATTGAATACGTATTCATTGAGATATCTAAAGTGTACTCATGAATACGGGCAAAACTTTCGAAAAAACCTGTGCATATGGATTGCAAAATGTAATGTTTGAATTATCATTGAATATTTTTCATATGTTCGAATAAACTTCCGTCTTGCTTTGAAACGATCACCTACGTATTGTTATACAGGGTGATTCAAAAGTACTTCGTGTGATTCCTCACAATATTCTAATATGAATTGTCCGAATAAATAAATGTCCGGAAACGCTTCGTTTCCAAGATACAGGATGTTGAAGTTTTATTTTTGTTTAGAATATTTAAATTTGATATTTCATCTCTAGTACCTAGTCCCAACCTAAGTATATGCATTTTAACCGAACTGTAAGGCTTTACATTTTCCATTTATCAGAAATTTGAATTTATTTCGTATACCTATCACTAGAGAGTTGAGGTGAATTTTCCTGGAGAGACTGTGTTTTTTTAATTTTGGAGTAAATCCTGCCTGTAAAACTTTCTACCGACCTACAAAGTTTGTGTCCCATTTGAAAAAAAATTGTGATTTGTCCTTGGAGTGAAAATGTGTGTTTTTCACATTCTGAAACTATCAGTCTAGTTAAGATTTATTTCTGGTAAACCTGCAAAATCAATCACTATAGATAGGTTATAGGTACCTACACCGGAAACCTACATATTTTTTTCATTGCAAAGTAGTAGGTAAGTTTTGTGTTGAAATTTAGAAAACAAATTCAAAAATTAGTTTTGAGATAATTGAGTACCGATTTTGACGGGCGATAATCCTTGGATGATTTTAAGAAAAATCTCCATATGAATGAGTGTCCGCAACCTATTAATTTTTGGGATACAGGATGCTGAAATTTAATGAAAAAATCATTTCTTCCCTAATATCTGGAAAACTTAATTTTGGTATATGCAAAATACGTTAGTATAAAAATACATTTTTTCCATGGTAGAGATTTTCCTAATGTTCATAAGTGACGTCACTGTTAACATGTCCTGTCAGTGAATTTTATTTAAATGGAAACTGTTTTTGAGGTAGAAAATGAAAAGCATACATTTGCNGTTATTTGAAAAAAACGAAAATAAAAATAAAACTTCAACATCCTGTATCTTGGAAACGAAGCGTTTCCGGACATTTATTCATTTGGACAATTCATATTAGAATATTGTGAGGAATCACCTCCTGAAGTTTGTCAAAGTACTTTTGAATCACCCTGTATTATTGGTAATAATCGTTATCAAAAAAAATTTCTGTGTGTTCATTTCCTAGAAGTTTGCATCAGAAATCTAAGGATTTATTTTAAATAATTTACGTCAGAGAAAGATAACGTAGTAGGTGGTTTGAGATATCAGGTAGAGATGACGAATTACAATATAATCTCCAAGGACATCAGATATTTTATGATTTTTTGGTGTTTGGCTCAGGCAATCGTTATGTCTGCTTAATCATCGTGATATAATAACAACAATGATTCTGATGACGGAATTGAACTCTAACTTGTATCTGCTTTGAAAAAACAATATACTTACTTGAGACTGAAACACGATCAAAATTACAACTATTTGTCCAGAATTCTGCTGAAAAGTTCTTTCGAATTCACTTCGATTTGTTTTACTATTTTACTGTTCACTTCTGGATTATTTTTTGTCAACAAAAGGCAAACTATCTCATCTGACAGATACCTACCAACCAGATTTTCTTTTTTCTCTTTTGAGGAATACACACAATTCCAGACTTTTCTGTTGGAATGGTGTCCAATTCATTATCTTGGGTCTCTTAAAAAGCGGCAGTTGTTTCTACGAAACTCACTCACCATAAAAACGGTAACGATGCTACTGAATCATTTTGAAATACACTTTTATATTCAATAGAATCTGCTTCAACTTCAGTTGCGATAAAGATATTTCTTTAGAATAGTATCAGTTATTCAAAGGAACTCACTATTCGGAAAGTTTTGGATAATCAATCAGATATTTGAGCTACACATGGAAATTTACGTCTGAAGTATCTGCATGTGACTCATTTCAAATTCCAAAATTCTCATCCTCGAATGAAAGGTGGAAAGGAATCCAATTGACGAAACTTGTGTCCACCCAAACGATCGCGAATGTGTTTGAATGGGACCGTTAAAGTTGCCGCAAATAAAAATATTGTGGAATTATTTTCGAGAGATAATTGACACATTCTGAGATCCCACCGTAAGTTTCGCTTGAACGACACATTACTTAAGATGTTTCTTCTTACACTATTAATTGATAAAGTCGAATTTAACAACTGAAATCGGCCGGTTACGTCGGAAATTTTTGGCGATTCTTCTAGATTTCGGAAGCCAGACCGGATACGATTTTATATTCGAGAAATCAAGGGGGCTGGTTGAAGATGACCAATCATTTGAGGAATATCTAACGAGATATATGAAGTTGAAGACTACATGATCCTACAAATGCAATGTGAAAGAATTGTACTTACAAAAAAGTATCCTTTGTTGGTATAAATCATAAAATCTTATGTTATCTGATGAGTTAACCAGTTAGTACACAGAAAGAAGTCGCCTGATTTGATATACGACTAGATGAGACGTACTATTCGATTTTGATATTAGTTACCAAGTTACCCATTTTGATAACATATTAGGTGGGCTGAGAAGTGCGTAGCCTAACACACAGATGGTGCCACTAGTCCATATGGTCTGTGTCGTTAGGGATATGCCTGGTCGTCTGTTAGAATTATTTATGTCCACAGATAATTCAAATCTCGCGCCACGATGTTCCGAGATGCAGAAGCGTGCGCTCTGATTAAGTAGCGAGCTGCGTGACAGTTTGAGGACGCTACGTGACAATTTGGTACACTCTGATTGGTTCACCGCCCAACTAGCTGAGTGACAGGACACCACGTAACAATTTGGTGCACTCTGGTTGATTGGGGGGTCTGTCTGCCTTGTATAGCGAGCTGGGAGGTAACCTGGCTGGTGTGATGACGTCACTGGCTGCCTGAACAAGGGCTACTCCTACTACTACCACGAAAATCCACGAAACATATTCCATAAAACTTCATTGCAAAACATTCACAAAACAATTTACAAAACTATTAAACACGAGACTTTAGTGATAAAGTGGTATAGAAGTTTCATTCTCATCAACAAAGCACAGGATGCATCTGATTTTTATACGTTGAATATTATATTTTTGTGTTACTAGCATTTATTTCTGTATTTCCGTAAACTTCGCAAATTTCGGATATGCAGTTGGTTAGTACCTCGTCCACTAGATGGAGTGACATTTTGTTGTTCGCTCCAACTTAGGAAGAGGAATGAAATACTCTGAAAGAATTCCGATTTTCAATTATGGAATATCATTGACTTTAGGTCGATGATGGCCACTATCTTGCACTGACGAGTGGCTAATGAGCCCAAAACCGGTCTGCAAGTGTGCCCGTTCCAAAATTGAAGGTTGAGTCTTTCAGTAGTATTGCCAATTGCATATGCAGGAAATTTTATGTGAAGATTTCAGCACTGACGCCCTTCGTGTTATTAGGCAGGGGAGTAGTTGTTTTCTGATAGGCGTCAGTCCATTCGACCTACTGTGTAGGTATATCTGAGACTGGCTTGAAAGTTTGAAGTTCATTTCTTTAGATTTGTTTACTGCCAGTATTCAAGCATAGCTCACTGACTAATAAGGAAAAATGATGATGGTAAAATTATTGGTATTCGTTAATAATCTGTATTTGCAAAAAAAAAACATTTCCATCATATTCATGAAAAACTTCTTTAAAAACAATAATTTCACAGGAAATACATCATTATCATTACTTCGGCAAACAATCTATGACCACAAAATAAAAAACAATCTATAGATGAAAAAATTGATCAATATTCACAATTTTCATCTTCAAAGATTTTGAATGAGCATCAAAAACTCGGAAATACAAATATAACAATAATTAGATTTCGGCTTGCTTTGTTTCCAAGATACTGGGTGAAGAATTTTTTTAAAAAAATACTTTTTTCGTACGCATTTGGTTTGGCAACGAGTAGTCATTTCCAACAGTTTTTGTAGACACATCCAATTTTGAAATTGTTTACTCCATATCTCATTTACAAAGCAATAAAAAAATGATTCATGTGTGATCAAGGGATGAGCAATATTTATTTCAAAAAACCAAGCGAGCTACGAAAACAAACCAAAGAAAATGAGAATTTCATTCTTAGATGTTCTGCTTGACAGAAAACTGAAGAGACAAACGTCAGCGTCATTGAAAATAAAAAAGCGAGCTTCCACTAAAATCCAAAGAAGTACGCCCTCACATTTTGTACCGCAATTAGAAAACACTCTTTATAGAAATACATTGCAACCTTAAAATTTGCTTTGTTCATAGGAATGAACAAGTTTGCCTCCTTAGATTATTCACAAGTGTGCTAATTTTACTAGCCTTAGTGAAACCTCGTGTTTGATGTAAAAATTCAGGATTGTTTCTATCCGTCAGAGCGTTTCTGGTTGTAATCTGCTGATAGCGATGTATTAAAATTTAGTTAGGGATGAAATATCTGCAAAGAATCAAAACATATGACGATATGGTATACTTAGATTGAAATCAGAATGAAAGAGTATGGCAGTAGTTTTCTGAATGAAGACCAATTCGGTATTTCCAAATAATATTATTTGGAAAAATTTAAATACGACTCAGAAGCGTTTCTTGAACGAGAATAGTATAAAACATTAAGGAATGAATAGTCCGTTTCCATCGTTTCAATTTACATCTTACTCGTATGAGGTTTTTAGGTAACTTGTGGAACTGATTCATAATTTATTTTATTGATATTTTCAAAAAGTACTATGTGTGTGGTTACAGAAGCGTTTCTTGAACGAGAATAGTATAAAACATTAAGAAATGAATAGTCCGTTTCCATTGTTCCATTTTACAACATACTCGTATGAGGTTTTTAGGTAACTTGTGGAACTGATTCATAATTTATTTTATTGATATTTTCAAAACGTACTTACTATGTGTGTGGTTCAGTTCATTTATTAGACAATCCCTGGGAAGTTATTGTTTTTGTTGTTGTTATGTGAAACTTAGGAAATAAAGGGTTGTTAAATACGTTTGTCATGGATTTTTTTCGAGTATCAGCCATATAATTGGATATATAGGTTGATCGTGTAGGGAATCGCTCGTTCTGGTGAATGCCCGCCGGAAAACAATTACTTCCCAGGCTGATGCTACGCTGGATATTGAATTATATCCGACATACGTTTATGCAAGATAACTTTTTGTCTAATTGTCTAATTTCCACTAGTTATCTAACGACCGGTTTCGGGTTTTATCCCATTACCAAGTACATTTGAAATCTGAAAACGAGGTTATATGTATAGGGAGTTTGAGGGAGTTTGTAGGTAAGCTGAAAGGGGAGGTGGTAAAATGAACAAGGATGCCAACTACCTATATAATTCAACACTGGAGATCATACAAATTACCGGGGTTTTCAAACTTATGAATTCCAAAGTGGAGACCTACAGAAATCGAGTTGTTCGTTTATGGGTATATATTTTGGGTTTTTAATTCATTTTTTGATTTCCATGGCCTCCAACGAAATAATTTTTCCCCTTTATTACATATGTGTAGGAGTTGTATGACTGAACTTTATAAGCTTTTAATTTATAATTGTTATAAAAAGTGTGTTCAGTGGTTATTTTTCGAACCATTTTTGTAAAACATGGTTCAATTCACTAACAGTGAAATGGCAGATATGCATTTCTGTTATGGATTGGCTCACGGAAACTCGAATACTGCAAGATATTTTGTACGTCTCCATGCACGACTTTCTGAAACAGGCAGCTTCAAAAGATCGATAGTTGTCATTGGGAGGCCTGCAACAGTACGAACAGTTCAAATTGAAGAAGCTGTTTCAAATGAGATTGAAGTATTTTTGAGTCAAAAATATTCGTTCAAATCCCGCTCGAGACGCCACTGGACTTAATAAATTGAATTACGTTCGGGCTAAACTAGCTCCTTGATGTTATAAATACCATTGCCAAATTACAACAAAATTAGGTGAAGGATATTCAAGATATTTACGAATAACTTTTTTTATTTCTATTTTAACACCTTGTATCTTGAGAACGAAGGATTTGCGGCCCCATGTTTACATGAACATTTCGTCTTGAAATTACCTAAAGAATCGTCTGTTAAATTTATGGTACATACTTAATTAACACCCTGTATATGGTGAGTTCTCAGGTAAGATGGTAAGAGTGAGGCTCTGCCAAACTCTCGAACCTGATTCAGTCCTCAGCGGGGCAGGCACAAAGTATTTGCTCTGCTGTTTCATCATGTTCCAAACAGAGGCGGCACCCACTGTCTTCCCACAGCCCGAGTCTCTGCATATGATGAGCCATACGACAGTGACCTGTGAGAAGGCCTGTAAGATATTCCTATTGTAGTCCAACAACTGTCTGCTTTCAAGCTGTGAAGGGTGGATGAACGCCTTGGAGTGAGCCAATCCTGGCAGATTTTGTGGAAGTCGATAAATCTTCTTGCCATCCAGGTGTTCAATCTTTGTTTGGCAAAGCGTAAAGCGATGCCAATGACAGGTTCTGGTACTATTTCATTGTACCTACGTATGTATCTCACCTAGAAACAGTTTTCAGACACTATTTAATAATATACTATTCGACTTTGAGGTTTAATTTTGGTGAATGATCCCAACTAGATCGTACCAGACTAACTGTATCGAATGAATTTAGCGGTCAATGTCACTTCGGCATCAAAAAACCTTCAATTGTTACGTAAGTAGACTTCACCTGATGATAGTTCCTAGCGAACACTATCCATTCACGTGAAACTACACATCTCCCAAATCCGCGAGGCAAAATACCACGCTTACGCATTGTTTTATCCTTTACCTAATAATTGAATCATTTAAAAATAGTCCCAGCTTCAATGTCAAACCTCCTAGATGCGTGCCATGACTAATAATTACACCGACACATCCAACACACACAATTTTCCATTTACAACGATTAATGCACAGGGGGTTAATTCAAAAAACTCACTTTTTCAGTTCATATCTTTGTAGGTTATAAAAAAATCGACCCTGGTCCGCGCACTCACACACATAGGCGTAGACTCGCATGAGCAGGAAAGTCACAGCAGGAGAGTGTGATTGCGATACTTACGTAGTAGCAGGACTAGGAGTTCGCGCAATTGTTTTGTCTGCTGCAAACATCAAATGCGGCGGAACTTGCCGAGATATCGATCTTATAGACCAGTGAATGATGGCAATAGGATAGGAATTACTAGCGGAAGATTGATATACACTTGAGGCGATGGAAAATTACACATAAGTTATCAATACAGAGTTACAAACAAACATGCATACATATATACATACGGTGAAGCTAATATGAAGCGTGTAAAAAATAGCCTCTTTCCTTCTGTCAAGTGCACTCAACCCTGTCAAATTTCACATTTTCGAACAATTCCCAAAATGTTGCTTGAACTAACCAGTCGTTTCGATTTTTTCCAATTTTCTGAGATTTTCTGATCTTTCGCTCTACTGATTCGAACGAAATATTCATTTCTAAGACTTCAATGTTACACAGGGTGTTTCCTAACTACGGTACGGAACTTCACAGGGTGACTCGTTAGATCATTTAAAACGAGTTGCTTCGTTTCTGAGATACAGGGCGTCGAAGTTCAAAACAAATAACAGTACATATAAAATATCATAAATATTCTTACACCGATTTGGTTGAAATTTGCAGTTATTTGTAGTGACGTCTAAGTGGACACTACAGGCAACAATATTGAAGAAAAAGCCACATACTTTTTCTGTAGTTTTTTATTTTCTCAGATCGGACCAGAACCTGTCATTGGCATCGCTTTAGGCTTTGCCAAACAAAGATTGAACACCTGAATGGCAAGAAGAATTATGGACTTCTGGCAGAATCTTCCAGGATTGGCTTACTCCAAGGCGTGTATTCACCCTTCGAAGCTTGATACCAAACAGTTGTTGGACTACAGTAGAGATGGACTACGATGTCTTCTTACAGGTCACTGTCATTTGAGTCATCATATGCAAAGACTCGGACTGTCGGAAGACAGTGTGTATCGTCTCTGTTTGGTAAATGATGAAACAGCAGAGCACATACTCTGTGCCTGCCCCTCTGGGTCTGAATTCGGTTTTTAGAGGTTAGCAGAGCCGATACTCTTACCATCTAACCTGAAAGACCACTCACCATACAAACTAATCGGCTTCATGATGAAGGTGGGCCTATTTGGTCGAGTGTGAATAAGTGTGAGCCACAATAAACCCTTGCGGGTAAAGGTGGAGGGTCGAATAGACCCACTCACTTTCGACCTAACCTTTGGAGACCAGCTGACAGTGATAGTGTTGTCATATCAGTGAAAGTCAGAGTTGTTAATTAGCAGTGATTTCATCATGAAAAATTTTACTACCGCGAGTCAGTGGCGTATTATTTTTCCCAATATTCTTGACTGTGGTGCCCACTGAGACTACACTGGAACTAATAGACCTAGTTAGAGCTAAACAAGCGCATCATTACTTCAAATAACTGTAGCAAATTTCAACCAAAAATATAGGATACATTGATAATTAATATTCATTAAATGTATGATACGTTGACTGGTCTGTAATAAGATAACGTTCTCGTTGAGACACTACCGGTATGAGTCAGAAAAATCCTAGTCCGTATGAAGTACGGTTTTTAACAAAGATAATTGCACACAGTTGATTTTTCTTGCATCCGAACGGGAAATTGTACGTTATGACAAAGTATCGAATTGGAAAATCAGGAGGTATCGTTATTGCGTGAAATAATACTGTATGATAAAAAGTGATTGTTTTTCTTTCCGTACTATGGAAAATTATCACAATTTTTTCTATCAAGATGGAGTAGTAGAAAGCCATAAACTTTCTTCTGCAAAAATTATTCTTTCCTAAAAACGTAACCCTTTCAATTCTTACCATTTCACTTCAATGATTTAACTTCCTCTCCTCTCCTCTCCTCTCCCAGGAGAGTTCAGTTTTTCGGGAAGGTTTTTGGCTTTCTACTTCTATTATTCTACTTATTTTCCGCCCTTTCTTCAGAAATCATACTTCATTCTGATTAAAACATATTTTCCATTCCGAATAAATTTTCATCAGCAAGACCTTACACATTTCTCCTCTTCAGATTTGTTTTTGGAATGCTTTACTTGGGAGCAGAATGACTTGCCCATTTCTGCCCTCTAGCCTCATTGTCTTCTCAGGTTTTCCCTTCCTTGTTTTCCTAACACATATTCCAACAATATCTTCACAGTATTAGTTCACACAAATCTTTTGTTGGATATTCGTCATATTCCGCTGGATGCAGTTTGCCTCTTCTGTGAACAATGTCTTCACATTCGCATGGAACGAGATGTTCCTGTCCATTTGTTGCACCTTCTAACGATTACTTTCCGTTATACAGCCTTGTTTTGAGGTATCCTTCTGAGGTATCCTCTGAGGTATTCTTCTGTATGAAATAGAGAGCATACAATCGTTTTGTACCTTATGAAATTCATCACCTGATTTTATTACTTGAATTAGAAATTTTACTCCATTCGTAACTGGGAATCCATCGTGATATATTAGAGAAAAAAGTTAGTGATTTCGAATTGGAGTGAAAGTGATCAGGTTCAATTCAATGACACAAAACCCAGGCATCGGTTTTCTCTAAGAAGATAAATGTCTCCGAACCGGATATAATGATGTCAGGTTAGACAATTCCGCTTTCTGCTTCGATAAGTTTGTTGGGGGTTATAATGGAAACCACTATGTCTTGACACAATCATGTCGCTGGAATTGCAAAAGCATTGTATATTGTCTTGACAAAATGTATCAGTTACTTGAGAAGGGTCTAACAAACCGAAACCGCTAGTAACAAATAATTAACTTAGTAGAAATTAGACAAAAGTATTTTCTTTATCCTATATTCAATGAACGCACTGTTCCACGTCGCTTTGCGAAATTTTGTTTAAAGATTTTAGCCCCGAAGTGGTCGACCTACAGTAATCCAGGACGATAACTTTCTCACCGGTAGTACCTTCGCCAATCAAGACCAGGCAAAAACGGTCTTCGTCGACTTCATGGAATTACGAGCACACCATTTTTATGCCGACGGAATTAATTGACTTGTGTTACGTTGGCAAAAGAAACTAATTCACGATTGGAGAAATCGGTCTATAATTTATACATTTCAATTTTTCTCCTTTCTCCAATATCTTGTCGTTAGTATTTTATTCATGAGCAGTGTTAGTGGCTTTTTAATATATTCTTCAATATGCTGCAGAACTTCTAATGATATTTCATCTATTCCTGGTGCTNAAACTATCCATATTTTGAAAAATAAACAGAAAAATTAACAGTTAACTAACCAGTAAAGTTTGAATCAAAAGAATAACCAAACGATATTAATATGATATTTATTTATTCTTAGATATAGAGTTATGTCTAGTAACGGGCCTGTCACTTGTACGTTCCTTAACAAGTTTCTTGTCTGAAACTTGTTTTGAAGTTGAAATATTCCGGAAGTCTGTTAGTTTTTCCAGAGTTTCCGTTTGTTTTCGAGACGGCTGTATTTCCAAAGGTACGCTTTCTTGAAATGGTTGTCTAGAGTTACTGGAAACGGGTGTTCCTGGATCGCTAGAGGGTTTTCTTTGAAATGATTCGGTATATGCAAATGTTTCAAGTTCAGCTACCGTATACACTTTATTATTAACAATCAGTTTATCGTTTCTGATGTAACAATTATTTTCATTGTTTTGTTTTGCAAGATAAAGGTGTTTTCGTAGGATTTTTCCCTCCTCTCTCTGTTTATATGTCAAGTCATTCACAATGTGTATTGGAGTGCCTCTCAATTTACCGCAATTTTTGATAACTGAAGATTTTTTGATAAAAGAGTCGAATTCAATTTTAATAGGACTTTTTTCTAATCTTCCTAAAGTGTATACGCTCAGTGCGAAAAAATATACCTACTTGTAATCAAATAACTATATTTCCCATCGATTTTTATTGATTTTTGTATCTACCATTGTGTATTCCATTTTTAATTGGTGCTTTTCTTTCACAGAAAAAATGGAGGAAGTGAAGGCAGATGAAAGATACAAAAAGAAGAATCCCTACGATAGAGCCAACTTCATTTCAAAGTTATTTTTTCTGTAGGTATTTTTTGTCGAGTTTATGTGTTCGAAAAGAACTATACTGCAAACTACCAAAACCGTTTCTTCTTCAGTAACTTTTATTTAAGGCGGGAATTCAAACTTTCTAGAAAAGTATGAAACATTTGAAAATTTTATAAAGTATTGAGATCTTTTATTCTGTAAATGCATTCACATGTTTATTTTTACAATTTTGAATTCAATTGAAAAATCAGTTATGCGGCAAAATTATAGTAATATAGCTATAGAAGTTCTATGACATTCCTAATGAAAAAACACGTGAAAATTGGGGCAGGTCCATTCTGGCGATTCCACGACCTAAGGCCCCATTTCACACAGAATTGACGCCTGGTCTCTGCCTGACGTCCAATCTGTGTGAATTGGTCCTTAGAACTATTGCCGTCATTCAGCCGACCAATCAGAAGCTACCGTGCGTACAGCGATAAACTCAAATCAGTATATGAACACGCTTGTACCGTGCACAAAATCCCATTAATTCTATGAGAGACGCTAAGTTTTTTGCAATTTTCACGACATCCGATCGGAACCTTCTGGAACATCCATAAGGAGAGACTTTAGTGAGTGCAAGAGAGAAACGCGCGACGTAATCGATGCAGAGAAGGATAGAATATATATCGGAGTCCGCCTCACCGCTCAGGCCTTCACCCCTGAGCCCCCTTGTCACGTACCAGTCACGTGGTCTTAGTGATCATCGGCAGCTGAGGAAAATTAAATTAGTGAAAATTTACCGGTATGAGAATAGAATCCAGGTCGTCAGCCTGGTCTTTGTCCTTAGCCTCGACACCAACCTGGTAATAATTGCGAATTGTTGATATTTATGTTGTTTTGTCGGGTGTCATCGACGTGGTTAATGAAAAATCAAATTGAATAAAAAAACATGGCAGTAGACATTCGGTGGAGTCTACAGGGTGTCTCAAAATACATGATTGAAGAAAAATTATGGTGGCAATGAAAGAGACATTAGGTGGAGTATACAGGGTGCGTCAAAATGCATCATTCGAGAAAAAATATGTCAGTTCAACGAGGCTATAACGTTTCAACGTGCGATTCCTCAATGTGTACAGGGTGTTTCAAAATACATCATTTGGAAAAAATATGTTGGTTTAACGGGTCCGAGCATTGTATGCTATACACCCCGTTTAGGTCTTTGTCTTCTTCTTTTTCAAAGCTGTTTATTTTTGGTGTTATTTTCGTGTTTGGCTTGTATGATGTTGATGTTCAATATCGACCAAACCAAGAGAAAACTGATCCGAAGGTACGACGAGCAAAAAAGACATATATCAACCCAATAATATATAAATCAAACCTCGCAACCCACGCCATACAGAACAAACATAACTTTCCCCTACCAGAGAACATAAAACTCATAGAACAAGTCAATAAAGGAAATCGTATGGATATCTGGGAAAATTTATATATCCATAAACTTAACATACATAATTCACTTATCGAGGAACAAATACAAATCAAAACACATCAAGACCTATCATTCAATATATCACACAAAACAATACATATTCCTAGAAACAGTGAACTTAGAGAAAATCCCACACAAATGATATTACCTGATGTAACCCAAATACAGGCAAATTTACCTACAGTACCTGAAGAAAGAGGATGAAACGTTCAGTTTTAGTAGAGCCTTGAAGATGACAGCACAGCCAGCTATCGAAAACGCTTGCATATATAAAATAGAAGTTATGAAGCTTCAAATCCTTTTTGTGACATATATTAATATTGAAATACTGAAAATAAAGAAAAATCAGTTGCCGAAGTAGTCGGCAATCACATTTGAAAATTAGTTGTTTTGCATATGTGATTGCAAAAAATTTAGCACCATGAGAAAATACATGGGATTTTGTGCTCGGAATAAGCTTCTTTATCTACTGATTTGAATTTCCTGCTGATTTGTGGATTGGATGATGGCAAAAGTGGCCCAATTCACACAGAATCGACGTCTGGCAGAGACACGGCGTTCATTCTGTGTAAAATGGGCATGATGTCGTAAAATCGCCAGAATATACCTGCTCAAATAAGGAATGTCATACAAATTCTATAGCTATATTACTAAAAATGTGTATGCAAAATAAAGTTATGAAAATTTCAAATATTCAAACACGTCGTCATATATTTTGTTTTCCACAGTTACCTAAATTTTTCAGATTTACATTACCCTACTTTGTGAAAGGCTACAAAAGAGAACTGACTGAAGATGATATATATAGTCATAGATATATACATGATTCCGGAAAGCTTGGAGAGCGATTGGAAGCAGCTTGGCAGTACCAGGTTGAGCATAGGAAAAATCCTTCCTTCGTCAAAGCTCTCTGTAGCGTATTTCTCTTCGAAATTGTTGTGCTGTGGATCATTGTATTTGTTACTGAGATAATTAGGTGAGGATTTTTAAACACTGGTTGTCGAAGAGTTGGGAAATAACTTAAACGAAGCTATTTTCGGCTTTTGTTGGCCGTAGTCTACATATTTTCATGCCTGAAATTTCGTCACAACTAAGGTAGACATTATCAAATGTAATGAGGCCACAGAAAATGTGGTCTAGTTGTCCGCATAGCTCTAGTTGATAGACTGCCTTCTACAATATATAATGCACTTGTAGACAAAACGACTGGCACTAACACCTGCAAATCACGGTCAACAAACTAATAAAATAGTTTTAACACTCAGAAAGGGATATAATGTGTTAGCGATATTTCATACGAAGTAAAAATCTGATATTGTTGCTTTATCCACAGGTTGAGCCAACCTATGCTGATATCAAGGCTTCTCACATTGTACGATGGAAACCAAGTTGCAGAAAACCAGAAATATCTGTATAAATACTCGGGACTTATTGTCCTGTCGTTATTAATAAATGTGTTCCTTATACACACCTTCCAATTTCAGATTATGCAAGTGAGCATGAAGATAAGAATTGCATGTTGTTCTCTCGTGTACAGGAAAGCTCTCAGATTGAACAAATCCGCTCTTGCTGAGACCACAATCGGACAAATAGTCAATCTACTGACCAACGATGTGGGAACATTTGATCAGGCTATCCATTTTATGCACAATTTGATAATAGGACCTATAGAGACGTTGGTTGTTATGATTTTGTGTTATTTCAGTATTGGATACACCGGACCAATCGGAGCTATATTTCTCTTAGTTTCTGTTCCGTTTCAATGTAAGTAATAATTGTATCTTTTCTATGGAAGATCTGCTCGTGAAACCCTCCTGTGGACTCTCAAATAACCAAAGAATCGATCCTGAGTCCACGGAGGGGATTAACGTCAGAAGTCGACTAAACTACCCCAGTTGTAGAGATTCTCAGCTCTACAAATCCTGATGCTGCTGAGAAACCTAGAAGGCCTGATGATGCAGCCAGAAAGCGACTCAGTCGTTTTTCCAAGAGAAGGATTTCTCATCAGTCTGCTCTGCAGCTGGAGTGGAATCTGCATCTAGAAAGAACACACATTTTTCTCAAACAGGTCAGCAAATTCTTACTCTCAAACGATTATTCACCTAAATTGGAAGCAAAAAAGTCAAAATTTGCCAAATTCAATGGTCAGGTATGTGAAGGTTGCTGCTGTAATTGAGGGTAAAAACGTGTAGTTTGAATATTCCACATCTTCAATGTTGACCAGTATGCCATTGAAGCTGATATGGAGAAATTTCCAGAAGATGGTGCCCAGATAGAATTGCATAGCTGATTATTTTATGACTATGGGTTACCTAAGCAGGTCTGCTTACTGGTGGGCAAAGTTAGTACCCTGCAGCCATGGGAGGGCACCTCCCTGGCATGTGACACAGGAGATCTACTTCGACTATTTTTTGTAAACCTTGAGAAAACTTTTCTAACACCAGAACAGAATTACGGTCTCTCGAAGCGCGTTTCGCTAACCAAGTTAGCGTTTTCAGGAGATCATAATGACTAAATTCCACTGCTATCTTAGATATTGTATATGCTAGTGGCCTAACTACTACCTGTTAGTAGTATCTAATCACAACGGATAGTATTACTATGATTTTCTGTGTTACGATCTTCGTTCGGGTTTGTAGGCCATCGTGGTTTGGAACTGTATCCTAACGTTCCGCCAGCACGATTGGCTGGCTTCTTCAGAGGTCCATTCATCCTGATGGTTCACCGATGACTCGTGATTTCTAGTTCGTGAGCTGTTTTTACACAGGTAGCCTGCTTTCTAGTTGGTGCGTTGTTACTGGCGGACGTGCCCGTAGAATATGTGAACCGGGACACCTACAAAAAGAATTGGAACATCTTCAAGATCTCTACAAGTCAAAATAGGAAGGAAACTTTAATGGTTGAATGTGCGTTCCTACCCTATATCCCAAGGGTAACAGATAGAATCGGAAAAATCCTGTTCAAGGATCCAAATCCAGTGTTCAAGCCCACCAGGAAAATACAACAAAGTCTTAGATCTGCGAAAGACAAAAATGATCCCCTATCAGCTCCGGGGATATACCGTATACCATGCACCTGCGGAAAAGTTTATATCGGTACTACTAAGAGATCCATGGGTACAAGGCTGAATGAACATCGGAGAAACTGTAGACTGGGTCAAAAAGAAAAATCGGCAGTAGCGAAACACGCGTTTAGTGGAGGAGATCATACGATACTGTTTGAAGATGTGAAACTACTTGCACCCGATCAGGGATACCACAGTCGACTTGTACGGGAAGCCATAGAAATCCATAAACCTACACTTCAGCCAAAGATGCTAAGGTGTCAGCATTGCAACGCAATGTAACAGGTGATAACACTTCGGCCAAAAACAACGCACCAACTAGAAAGGCGGGCTATCTATGTCAACATGAATACAGCATACGAACTAGAAATCACGAATCATCGGTGAACCATTAGGATGAATAGACATTTGAAGAAGCCAGCCATTCGTGCTGGCGAAATGTTAGGATACAGTTCCAAACCTCGACGGCATTCAAACCCGAACGAAAATCGTAACACTGAAAATCTTGACGCGAAAATCTTAATCAATTTATTACTCTGATTTGTTATGTATTTTCTCTATGTTAGTGACTATCCTCTACATTTTTTCTCTGACTCATCTGTTTTTCACTTAGAATTCTTACATATAATACCAAACAGAGGGCTGTTCGGAATAGAACCTTTGTCGCTATTTTATACAACTCATTCCAGACTTTTCGATTTCCAGGCTTCCGAAGGCATTCAGAAATCTGTTGTCATGTATCGGTATCAACAATTTTAAACATTTCACACTTATTCTATGGTCGTTCTTTATGGCATGTTGAGGGACACTAGATTTCTCCAGTCTATGAAACCGAACATGCGAAACATGTTCCTTGTAGCGAGGTAATATAGTCCGTTTGGTTTGACCAACATATTTCTAATCACAATCCTCGCAATTCATTTCGTAAATCTCAGACTTTTCTTTTACCAACGTCTTATCTTTCGGGCTACACAACACTTGTTGAAGTGTACGTGCAATTTTGAAAGCCACTTTTTATTCAATTTTTTGAATGTTTTCATTGATGTATTTGGGTTCATCAGCAAACACTATGAATTTTGAATCTTTCTCTTTTTGAAAAGTCGAGCCATTACGAAGATACTCCCAACATTTTTATCTTCAAATTAATTAATCCAATCTGTTTGATGGATACCCGGTGCTTTCAGCCACCTCCCTAACAACTTTGAGATGTTGTCAAATTTATATTTCGAAAACAAAAGCGTTGTACCAGTTAGTGCTGTTAAGTAAACGTAATATTCAGTTATACCCCAAGTCACTTTCCAAATTTGAAATTATAATTGAAAAAATTGAAATGAGAGTGACAGTTTTGGAATTATTAATATTTGTGAAAAATGGCTCTGGCAATGTTTGAAGATGAAAAAGTAAAAGCTAACTAATAAAAGTATTGGCAATATTCATGTGCTATAACTTCTTTTGGCTTTACATGATCATCAAAAAGGTATCTGTATCTGTAGAGTAGGGCACTTAGGCCACATGTAACCCATGTGGCCTCCCGAGGAGTCCTCCTAGGTCATCTTCCATTCTGTCCTTTTTAGGAAGATGGACAGGTCACTAGGAGACATATCCTCTAGATCGGCAGGTAAAGGCCAAGACTCGCCGAACTCACACTCTCTTTGGCAACCTTGAGGTGTCTCACGGTGGCCTTCGTGAAGGTTTTGGAAGGTGCAGCGACATTACTATCGTTGCGGGACTTCTCCAACCTTCTTAGGATTTCCTCCGTGGTGGTGCTTTCCTGGAGAGGCAGCCGGTTCCTTGCTTTTATTCAAAGCGGAGTTCTTGGCGTCCGTCGCAGGAAGTGCCCTTGCTGTTGGAGTGGAGGACGAGGAGGGTGCATGTATAGTTGCTGACACTCCTGCCTCTATCGCTCTCAAAAAATTGAAATGAGAGTGACAGTTTTGGAATTATTAATATTTGTGAAAAAAAGCGTTTGGCGCTGGCAATGTTTGAAGATGAAGAAGTAAAACGCTAACTAATAAAAGTATTGGCAATATTCATGTGCTATAACTTCTTTTGGCTTTACATGATCATCAAAAAGGTATCTGTATCTGTAGAGTAGGGAGGGTGAGTGTAGATCCACAGCACTTAGGCAACATGTAACCCGTGTGGCCTCCCGCGGAGTCCTCCTAGGTCATCTTTCATTCTGTCCTTTTTAGGAAGATGGACAGGTCACTAGGAGACATATCCTCTAGATCGGAAGGTGAAGGCCAAGACTCGCCGAACTCACACTCTCTTTGGCAACCTTGAGGTGTCTCACGGTGGCCTTCGTGAAGGTTTTGGAAGGTGCAGCGACCTTACTGTCGTTGCGGGACTTCTCCAACCTTCTTGGGATTTCCTCCGTGGTGATGCTTTCCTGGAGAGGCAGCCAGTTCCTTGCTTTTATTCAAAGCGGAGCTCTTGGCGTCCGTCGCAGGAAGTGCCCTTGCTGTTGGAGTGGAGGACGAGGAGGGTGCATGTATAGTTGCTGACACTCCTGCCTCTATCGCTCTCTTTCTTCTTTGGGTATCGGCGCCGCAAATGCGCTCACGCCTTGGCCTTTGTATTATATCACGAGGTGATATGCCATGTCCAGCCTCATTCCAAGTGGTAGATTGGGGTGGACAGTTTTGTTCATCCTCAGCTACCGCCATAGATTGAGGTGAGCATTTCTGTCCACCTCGGGATTGGTTTTTGTAATTGAATAGAACTGGCCGATACTTGATGAAAATTCATATTAAAAAACTAATCAATAGAGTTTATTGTATGATTTTCACTATAATTTATAGTGAAAATCATACAATAAATAATGCAATACTTTTCTTGACGCGCGTTTCACCAACCAAGTTGGTGCCTTCTAGAAATGAAAAGTTTTCGCCTCGAGAAGAGTATTGAATTTCTGGTTATTAGGAGAAGTGCTCGTTTTGGAATAATTTCTTAAGTTTGGAAGGCTGTTGTTGGCCATCTCACGATTCATCATCATTATTTTCAGCATGGCTTGGTAAAAAGACTTCCAAGTATAGGTTGAATACAGCTCTGCGTACAGATGAACGAGTACGTCTAATGAATGAGATAATTTCTGGAATACAAGTGATAAAATTGTACGCCTGGGAAAAATCTTTCGCCAAGTTGGTGAAACTAGCCAGAATGTAAGTAGTTTGATCAAAATTTAGTGTGTTGAGAAGATCAGTTTGTTTTGTTGTTTATTACAATTATTTACCCCCTCCTTTCAGCGGAAGTACGCTCTTACTCACCTCCCACGATTTCGTAAACATTGTTGTATGTATTTTTAATGTTCCTATTCTGTTTTTTAACAATTCATGAGCAGCAGTTCTAATTTTACAAATAATAAATTGATTCAGGACAGGATAGGATCTTGGACTTCAATGCACATTATATTCATTTAAACAAACTTCATTGACACGGTATTCAACAAAAGAGTAAGGTACAAATTTCATGAATCTCAAGTAATATTACGAACAAAAAAACTTCTTTGAAATTTTTGATACGCATATCAATTCCAATAAACAGGCCATAACACTTGCATTCGTATGAGATTTTTTCAAAACTTTCGAACAATTGTTGGTATAACTTGGATTTAACTTTTCTAAACTCTTCGAGGTATGCGTGCAAAATGTGATGTACTCCCATATTCGAAAATTTTTTCTCCTACCCAGCATGGTTTCGTACATCATGTATGACACATCTTGCATGTTTAAATCAATATCTCTGTACGTACCTGGACAAGCAAAAACAAGTCGATGTCGTTTATTCAGACTTTCAAAAAGCCTTCGATCAAATAGACCATTATGTTCTTCTCAGCAAATTGACAAAATTGGGACTCTCTAACCAACTGCTTCAATTGAATCCAATTGAATTATATATAGGTAACAGAAAACAATTCATCGAATATGAATCTTTCAGATCGTTTCAGTACGTAGTTACAGCTGGGGTTCCACGAGGTTCTAATCTTGGACCTCTTTTATTTTTAATTTTCATTAATGATTTCGCAACCTCTTTGAATATTCCTAGCCTACTATTTGCAGACGACCTGAAACTATATTATAGAATCGGCCAACGTGTACAACTTGAATTAGATGTAATCAAACTTTGGTGTGATGATAATCGTCTACAACTGAACGTATCCAAATGAAAAATAATATCATTTACAACAAAAAAGCGAACTTTAATGTACGATTATTCAATCAATAATACTACAATCAACCGCGTACACGAGATCTTGGTATAACATACGACAGTAAATTAACATTCACAGAACATGGATTCATTTACAATAACCGCAAAAACTTCAAGAGTATTGCCACCTCAAAATTGCTCTATTTTGCGTAGGTATGCCAGATCTAAGTTAGAGTATGGCTTTTTGTTATGAAATGCAGTTTACGACTACAAAAAACATCAATTGAGAGCGCGCAGAGGAAGTTCCTAAAATACTAATGTCTAAAAGTTGAGGCATCGATCATAACATTTTGTTGAAATGATTTGATATGACATCTTTCGAAAATAGGAGAGTTATCCTTGGTATAATATTCCTGCAAAAATTACTTAAAAACAATTATGACAGTACGATTATTTTACACGAGATCAATTTCTTAGTACCATTGCGAAGCATCACGCACAAATATTATGCTACGATCACCATTGAATTTTATGTGCAGTAGCTTCAGTAAAATCTGTGAACACTGCGATATTCATTTCAACTCTCTGAACGCCTTGGTATCATGTATCCACAATCACTTTCAATACTAATATAAATAACATTTGTTTCAGTACTGCTACATTGCATGATTTGTAACATTTTGTGTTATATACTCAATTTTCCATTCTTTTTTTGAAATTCTACGTATATGAATATTTCATATATACTTTGTTTTAGCATTTACTTCTATACATGTCTATATTCCATTATTTTTAATGTTTATTCCATATATACTCTGTAATAATAGCATTTTCTGTAACTGGGTACTTCTGTTAGAAATAAATCGCTTTTTTTATGTGTCTATTCGAAACGACCAATTTATCATTGGCGAAAGTGGATTTACCTTAACAAACATTAACGAGCTTTGCTTCAATACCTTAAATCGTTTGTTTGAAGGTGATTGACAATGTTTCGTGATGAATTTCACTAGTTCGGACTTCCATTGTCTACTATATAAAATGATTTGAAATCCCTGATATATGAATATTTCATATATACTTTGTTTTGGCATTTACTTCTATACATGTCTATATTCCATTATTTTTAATGTTTATTCCATATATACTCTGTAATAATAGCATTTCCTGTAACTGGGTACTCCTGTTAGAAATAAATCGCTTTTTTTATTTGTCTTTTCGAAACGACCAATTTATCATTGGCGAAAGTGGATTTACCTTAACAAACATTAACGAGCTTTGCTTTCAATACATCAAATCGTATTGAAATGAAACAATAGTTTGACGGAAAAATTTAGGCAAGTGAATATCGCCCGGTAATTCCCCTACTCGGTTCTAAGCGTTTCTTTTTCAAACTCAAACAATGTGTGAGTTACTATATGTGTGAAAAAGTAAATAACTACCGCTGACGTAATCATCATCTAGATCCTCCGCCTCCCATGTCATCAAAAATAAGCGAAGCAGCTGATATTGCTCTGGGTAGTCTGTTGAACATACCGAGTATGAAACTTGGCTGTTTGGTTTTGTATACAGTATACAGATATATCTATAGTTGTGATGGCTGTCTGTAGAATATGTGTTATCATATGAAAAGTTTTATTTCAACTCTTTCATTAGGTTAGGTTAGGTCCATTAGATCTAGGTCTAGGTCTATTAGACCCTCCACCGCAACCCGCGGGGCTTATTGTGGCTCACACCTATTCACACTCGGCAAAATAAACCCAGCTTCTTAACGAAGTCGATTAGCTTATATGGTGAGTGATCTTTCAGTTCAGATGGTAAGGTTATGGCTCTGCCGAACTCTAAAGACCTGATTCGGTCCCCAGTGGGGCAGGCACAAAGTATATGCTCTGTTAATGAGGTAGTCGGATAGCCAAGTTGCAAGATTTCCACTTCAATATACATGACAACCTTCCCCTATGAGGGTTTTTGCACGTCAGCTACACCTGACGATGCCTTAGATTCAACCGTGCAGGGCTGTTTCGCCTCTGGTTTTGGTGAATCATCACTTGAGCGCAAACGTTTGCTAACCTGCTCATAGGGGGGTTTGTTCCCCCACCTGAGACAGATTCTGCGTACGCCGCTCAAGAATTTGGTGCAAGGCGGTTTTATAAGGTACCCCGCTCTTGAGGAGACAACTCAGTCGTTTCCTGGCTGCACCACCAAACCTCTTTTTCAAGGTTCAGTTATTGAATCAGGAGTTGGGTAACTGAGAAGCTCTCGCTCCTGAACTAAATTTACAGGGAGGTCAGTTGGAGTCGTAAACTCGACATCCATCTCCTCTGTAGACTCGCTCCTGATCTAAATTTACAGGGAGGTCAGTTGGAGTCGTAAACTCGACATCCATCTCCTCTGTAGAGTCGCTCCTGAACTAATTTTACAGGGATGTCAGTTGGAGTCGGAAACTCGACATCCATCTCCTCTGTATACTCGCTCCTGAATTATATTTACAGGAAGGTCAGTTGGAGTCGTAAACTTGACATCCATCTCCTCTGTAGACTCGCTCCTGATCTAAGTTTCCAGGGAGGTCAGTTGGAGTCGTAAGCTCGACATCCATCTCCTCTATAGAGTCAGCGTCAGAAGGAATTTTTAAGTTTACTCTGTCCATAAAAGTCCCACGAGTAGCTAGGGAAAGAAGGTCAATCACGGCATAGCCCCGCATTACCGTGACACGGCGATGCTACGACGAGAGGGCGCCCGGTATCTCGAAGGTTCCATAGAGACAGTGTCATTCTTCTTCTCAGCACGGATACACACACCTTAGGATTAAGCCATAGTTGGGATGCCATTCAGTTAGGGAATAACAGAACCACAAATGATTTTGTCGTGGACAAAATTTATTTTTGGTTGTGCATATCCAAACGGGCATAAGCATTCAGCCAACCTTTGGATAGCTAAGTAGCGTCATAAACTTAGCACAATAAGTTGCGAATAACTCGAAAACTACACATTTTATGTAAAAAGATTACCTATACAAAAAGATAAAATTTCCTACATTTTATGTTATTGAAGTTTTTTCTACGGTCATCCATTAAGCCATGGGAGAACGCTACAAGTGAGGGAAAATCCTCAAAACTCCAAAAATCGGGATTTTCGGCGATTTGACACGGGAATGCAATATTGAAGGAATGACCGAGTCAAACCGCTAGCGGTCATCAGCAGTGCAGTACGCGTAGACAAAGAACTGGTCCCAGTGAGTCCCACTACTTTGTTCCAGCGCATTTCTGCTGTCGCCAAAAATTCCACCGAGGACCTTCAAAACATTTTGACGTATGATCTTGGGCCCTACTCTTTGTCCCTCTTTGACCAAGGATGCATGAGAAAAGGGACAAAGTCCACTTTGTACAAAGGCCTGAAATCCATCACCAACAAGCAGTACACTGGCCAAGTGCAATGTCATTGATGGAGGTTTCCTAATTTACCGAGTCATATGGCCAACAAATGCTCCTTTTGCTGCGATATGCGACAGGTACATAAATAATGCCGTTCCCCTTCGTTGTCCTGGCTCGAAAGCCTTTCAACTGGGCATCTTCCCTCTATCCAGCTCCACCGCTGCCATGGAAACCACCTCTTCAAATTAACAGGGAAGAAGACCCAACTCTATTAAACCATACTATCTTGTTTTGCTTCCATACTGCTGGGAAATACCTCCTTTCCAGACAGGCGTTGAAAAGCGCCACCATGCATTCCCCTTCCACTCTACCACCCTGCGCCTAACCTCATTGGGGACTCCATCTACTCCAGCCGCTTTTCCATCTAGAAGCTTCTCAGCCACTGCTCACAGCTCCCCAATGGAAAAGGCTGGCTGATCCTCACCCCATTCCCTTCGTTCTTCTTCTTTTATTTTACGCCTGACCGGAGTGTCGTTCAAGTGGTTATCCTTGGGGAAGTACTTGTATAGTAGATATCTACTAGTTTCTTCCTTCCCCTTGGTATGTTCCATCATCTCTCACGACGTTAGAAGGTATGTCCCTAGCCCT